GTTGCTAATCATCAGCACTCTCCCCGGTTCTATCCCGCAGTTACTGACAGCTCTGCGATCTCTACGGGTGTATAGCTGATGTGCTATGATTAAATGCAGTTCCGATGGATCATTTGTACAGTACCTCACTAACACATTGCATTCGCCATTTTTCATCTTTGTCGTCCCACCCGTTTTTATTCTATCCCTATATTTATGTTTGATGTGGTGTTTAACGACTCTGTCTAGTGTTTCGTAATCGTAAAGCTACCCTAGGCAACTTATTCGACCATGTGTGTGCTACCACCCCCGACTTCGACGACTACAATGTTCTTCGAAGGCGATAAAAATCACATGCGTTTGTTGATCCGAATCCTGCAGAATGCATTGCCAAAATCTCCCGTTGTTGGTCCTCATTTAGGAGGATTCCCGAATTTCCCCCTTTGAAGAATGACAATAAAAGCTTCCTCATGGAGACATTAACAAAGAGGATTTGTTTAATACATTCTTAACATAACATTTTGATCCCGAGTCTCAATCAATTCATCACATCCGTCGGCATTCAGATGGATTTTCCAATATCAGTGATGTTTTCTCTGAAACAATTCAGGAACAAATATGTCCTTCAACATTAGTAACCAGAAACATATGACCCAATGTTTGCTCATCCACATATTCGCAGTCTATGTTTTGGGCGGATTCCTCTCTGAAGAGCGAAGAACATCTCTTAGCCCTTCAGTTTTCAAGTCATGGGTGTATATCAACTTAAACGTGTGCCAGCTTGTAAATAAAATATTGTCACGAATGGAAGAGAATATGCGCATCCCAGATTCTTGTTTAAAATAAAACGAACGCACGATTACTGGATCGGTAGATTTATTGGCCTTAGCTTTCGAACTCGAACTGGAGTTCATCATCAGAGACTGCTAGGGTGCAGCAACGTGTGCACATTTCCGTCGTTGTGCCGTGAGGGGGGATTACGTCCGTGGCTAGATCTGGTTTGTGCTGCCTGACCCACAATGGTCCCCCGGCGTGGTGACGCCGTTTGTACTTCGCGTATGATCTCCAACATATCATTACGAAAAGATAATTTTCAATGAAATTCCTGATTCCTGCCTGACTAGTCAGCTACACTCTGTTCGGAATAGCTTTTACCTCGAAAATCTTTGGCAACTTGTCGCTTAGCCTTTCTGGATTTGATGATATAACTTGATAACGAACAGCAGTCCGTGTTAATTCTCAACTTCATACTAGGTAAAGTCTTCTATAAGGCACCGCATAAAGGTCTTTTGATACAATTGAGGCCTCCTCCACTCTACCTCAATGGAGTCCTGTTTATTCAGCTACTATCAGACGATAATGATTGGAAATTTCTTCTCAATGACTCATCCCATCGCGAGGTATAGTGCTGGGTTCCCAAACCTTCATTCATTGCATAAACGACATTTCATCATCAGTCATTTGAAAGCATTCAGTTGTGTTAATTAACCTAAATGTGTTTATTAATCTCATACAAATATTGTGGAAGATTCCGGTAAAGCTAATTAAGACATATATTGTCAGTTGAAGTGGACTTTGAATTGGCAGATGGAGTTTTCTTCGTCCAAATATGATTTAATATTTCGGCGTCGCCAAACTTCGCGTACCCACAGGCTTCCAGAATAATCCCCCACAAAGTATTTTGTCTTGATTTATACGAATATGCTAGAGATATCAGCCGGTTCGGATTGAAGATCTGCAAAGCCTACACAAATATGTGGTTACATCACACACAATCGTTCGCTTTCGGAAATAAAGCCAACAATTCGCCCCACGATTGTCCCTGCCATCTTTAAATACTGCGGTCAATTCGTTGTGGAAACGAACGCCTGTGTCAGTAAAAAAACTGAGAGTTCGGAAGGCCTTAAGACGAAAACACTTTAGCGGTCCCTAATCTAGTTGTTTCTATGCAGACCGATGCCAAGTGACTTCAGAACTCGACATAGTTTCAACGAAGGTCTTTTGAACCAAGCCGCAGTAAGTCATAAGAAGGAACGCGAGAGTTGGAGGCCCAATACACCTCTTAAGAGCTAGTGATGGCCTAGAACTTGGTGAAAATGTAGCAAAAACTGAGTACCTTTCGAAATTTTAAAGTCCATCTTTACGAAGGAAAGGCATTCATTTCTCTGACTGTTACCTAGTGGAAGGGACAGAGATTAAGATCGTTTTTTCGCCAAAACTGCTGTCCACAAAGAACTGTCGACGCTGGCTGAATCAAAATCGCCTAGGTTGGGTGACATACAGCCTGACATGCTGAGGGAGCTCAAGTTATTTCTCACCCAGCACGTGTTGTATCCAACGAAGGTACGTGAAGGGTAACAGTGAAATTGTTTGGAACTGGTGATTACGAAGTGACTGGACAGCATTGATGAAGTGCAATCTCTACCTCCACTCGGTCGCACTGTTGTGGGCGTATTAACCTTTTCTGTATCCGGACAAGCCACCAGGATTAGACGAAATATTTGGTGCAACGACTTTGATCAAATAAAGGCTTAAATAAAAAACACAAACTGGGAATCAGCCTTCTTCGGCGACATAGTCGAGTAGTGGAACCGATTTCATGAATTGCGGCACGTCCTTCTCAGAGACCACCGTCCGATTTCACAGAAGAAATAGAACAACAGACCTCAATGGCTAACCCAATACTTACAAAGAATTGAATGAAAAGCGGAGGTTATGGAGGAAATTCCTTTTGAATGGGAACTGTGTGCTGATAAATGCATACATTGAACGGAGAAACCTAGCTAACCGACATATCCTCAGGAGACGGCATGCTTCCCAGAATGACCAACGGAAAGGGGTCGTAGAGAATCCGAAGTTGGTCTATGGTTATATAAGCAGGAGCATGAGAAACAGAGATCCTATCCTCCTACTGAGAGCTACTGATGACCTAGGGCTTAGTGAAAGTGGAGCAAAGGCTGGGCACTTTTCGCAATTTTAAATCCATCTTTACGGAGGAAGGCGCATTTATTTCTCCGACTGCGACCAGTGGAAGGTCCAGAGAATGAGACCGTTTCTTTCGCCGAAATTGTTGATCGCAAAGAACTGTCATCAGTAGATGAATCAAAATCACCTAGGTTGGGTGACACACAGTCCGAATTGCTGAGGGAGCTTGACGGCGAACTATCCGAACTGCTGACCATGCTCTTCCAAGCCCCGTTCGAAGCAGGTAGTTTACCCGAAGACTGGAAATCTGAACGGTTTTCACCACTATATAAGGGCGGTAGCCAAGTCTCCGCAAACAACTACTGACCAAACAGCCTCACATCAATCTGCGACAAAATTACTGAAAGAATAATTTGGCATGAGCTGATGCGCTTCCTAGCGAAGTACAATCTGTTATTCGACGCCGAGCACGGATTCCGTAGAGGCAGCTCGTGCGTGACAAGCCTATTCTGTTGTCCGGAACGCTGGACCTGGGCAGTTGACGGAGAGAATGCAGTACACGCAGTGTATGTCAACTTTAATTAAGCGTTTGATAGTGTATCACATCAGTGCATCTCGTGCAGACTAAGCCGAACAGGCATTAGGGGTAATCTCTTGAGGTGGATTAAAAGCACAAGGCTCCGTTCTTGGTTCTACCTTGTCCATTATGTGTCGTTTACTGTACGTCGTTCATTATCCGTCGTTTATGACCTATACTAACGACTGCGTTAGTGAACCGAACTGTGATTTTGCCATGTTTGCTAATGAAGTTAAACTTTGGAGCGCCATCCGAACTGTATTTCAAAAAGAGTATTTGCTGCAAACCTGAACAGGCTCGAGAAATGGTCGCAGGACTGGTTTATGCCGTTTAATGTGACTAAGTGCAGCATTAAGCGAGTCGGTGGAACCCGATCTCTAGAGTGCAGGGTTTGCACCTGAATGACGCAAAGAAGGACTCGGGATTGTGGGCCACAGCTTCCCTTTAACCGTCGCTACACTGGTCCAAGATAGCCAAGTCAGTCCTGTGGCTTTTCAAGCGGACTTTCTCTACCTTCGATGAAGACTGCTTCGTTAAAGTCTTCTGGGCGTTTGTGAGGCCACAGTGGACGCATGCACCTAATAGAAATTTTCTCATCTTTCATGCGGTAAAATTATGTTAGGAAAATTCGAAAATATAGGAAATGTACATATACATACTTACTTTCTTCAGCAGAATAATTCATCCCAGCTCGAAACCATTCTCACCACATGAGAAATAACTTTTTCTTCCTTGAACTCCCCTGCTCATTGGTCGTTAAATCTTCTCCAGCATGATGTTTTCTGGTAGTGCCATTTAATTAGGTCGAATGCATAGATATATCTAGTAATTGCTCTGAAGGCCGTATCGGTGGGAGTTTGCGAAATGTACTCTTCCAGGAAACTGATTGATCTGGCACCGAAGGTTAAAGTAGATAATTCCTATCCAATATTTTCACGAGCCTGTACACAGCCAAATTTGGAGGACGATTCGTTACCATATCATAAAAAGTGCAAGTTTATCGACATAAGCGAAAACATGAAAGTAATAAATCTAAGACAGATAATCTGTGAGCACCAGCGTCTTCGGTTAGATACGCCCAAATCAGCATCTTCTCAGGACCGACCAGAGTGGTTTACTGTTACTGATGTTAGCGGAGGAGGACGTGTACGTTGATAGATGGCTCATTTTCCCGCCACTAACAGTAGCCAGGAAATCCATCCTTACTTACCAAACCATATAGGCGGTTCGCCTCCTGTAAGTCGATGTCAAAACCAAACCAAATGCTCTCGTCTTTTGGATTCAATGAGGCTGTTTCGAAAACTCTTGCCTGATCGAAATACGCGGATCATTTCACTTTCCACGCTCAGAATCAATTTTCAAGTTAAACGACAGGTTTTTAATACTACTTTTAATGCCTCGTGTCTTTATCGGTTTTGTAAGATTCCCTTTTACCTCTTCGATTTAGTTCGCCTGTTTAGGTTCTTTTAGTTAATGTTAACATAACGCGCACATTACCAAAGCCTGCATATTGTTTCGGATGTGGTCTTCTGCGGATTTTAGCGGGTACGGCGGGGGTTCTGATGCTGGTGGAGGCTTTTTGTCGGGGGCTGTTGCGACTGCATCAAAGGTTTGCAATGGTTTTGCTATAAGTTTGATTATTGTTAAGAAAAACCTAGGCCAGAATTGCATAATGCCCTGCACTTGTGCTGAGGTAGCTACGGCGACTCAGGATGGCGATAAGTACCTGTCCGCCACGGGCGTTGAATTTTCACTGGTAGGTTTTCAACCCCTCTGCGCAGGTTATAGGTCACCTTGGTCGGCGTTATTCGTTCCGTCAACCTATCTCCAACGCGTATTGATTATGAGATCGATGACTACACTGGGCCGTATTTGCAAGTGAAACTCTTTCTTGATGACGAAGTAAGTGCACCTGTTTTCATCGGTCCATTTGTAGGATTCCACTCCTGAGGCCACTAAAGTGAAGTCGCTCGACCGCTTGTCATACGTTCGTGTAAATGGCTATGTACGCAGTTTCCAGGGCGTGCGAAATATTGTCGCGTTAAAGGTGGGATGTTTGCCTCTTTCTTCCGTGTCTTTTTCCACGTCACACCTTAATGGACCGCCTTCTACAATTGACCTACTCATTTTTATGCTCTAAGGATCAAAGGTAGTTTCGTGCCATCCGAGGAATAACCACATCGTCCACCAAAATACGTCTTACCTTACCTATCAGTGTCTGTAGTTTATTCTGCAGTCCGGTGTAAGTGTGCTGCCCGTCACCCATTGTTTCTATTTGCAGGGAATACGGTGCTACTAGTAGCGCTCGCGTATCTGCAAATAACTGCGACACGACTGGCCTACTTTGTACTTGGAGCGGCAGCGATCATGCCTGATCAAACCGGTCTCGATGATGTCATGTATTGCACCTCTCCACTCGTGGGGATTTGCGGCAGCGGATCTGGACAACCCGACCCATTCTCTCCTACGACAACGACCGAATACCGAAGGTCCAAGAACCATTTCCATGTCTTGACGAATCGTGCTCAGCCAGACCTTGAGCGGACCTCCTCGTCGACGCTTCCAGGCAAGCAACGATGCCGGATCGAGGGTAGTATAACTGAGGTCGTAAGGCAGACAGTGGAGAAAGTATGCAAACCCCCTCAGTCGTTCTCGGACGACCTGAGATATCCCCGTAATATTGTCGCAGCGAGTGCGGGATATCCCATTTGGAGCAAAGTCGCTGTATTTCACTCGAAGGATGATCCTAAGGCAGTCGTGATCAAATACCTCCGGTTTTGCGCATCTTCCGCACCCAAAGCCCGACATTCACAATCGTAGAGAAGGACTGATTGGACAAATACGCGGTGCACGCGGGTGTTCGTGGCTCTGGAGATGTCGCATCTGGTCCATAGACACTTTCCAAGGATTGAAAAACCCTGCGAGCGGGATCGGTTCGGGAGACAACGTCGTCCCAACAACAGTTTAGAATAATAAGCATAATTGATTGACAACCGCGTGGAGCGAGCAGCAAAAAACGCTTGTAATGTATCGAAGGCAGACTGTAATGGCGCCTTTGGTGCGGGAAGGGTCACCGCGCGACTATTGGAATATAACCATTGATTGACCGAATGACCTCATTTGGTTAACCTATTGCACCAGATAACCCAGTGGCCAATTATCCAGACAGGAAGTCACCCCTGACGCTCCCCTAACTAGTTAAACATAAACTGGATATTGCTACCTTTGTCAAGAGTCGCCTCTGTGCATGTAGACAATTTGATGCAATTGAAAGCGGATACATCCTTCGGAGGGACCGTTCAGTGGAGGAACAGAAGTCCGGTCGTCCTTATCTGGGATGAAATGTGTGGTCGTCACAGGACGGGGAGCTATAACGACAACGGATTTCTGATGAGGTCGCGCACGGAGCTCATTCTGCTTGCCACCTAGACCGCTGTTTGCATCGTCTACGGAAAACCGTATGAATACGCTGTAGTTTACGTCATCGGGCACTGCTTGGACTGCGTTCTCGCCAGGAGGGACCGTCGTAACCTACTTGCGATAAAGACAATATGTCAGGACTGCTATTGAACTAATGACCGCCTGGTCTCCTCGAAGAGGAGGCTGCAAACCTATCCAAACTTAATGGGAAGAGGGCTTCATGGACGCCAAAAACTAAAACTCCAGGCCCCGGATCACCCCGAGCGCAGGCGCGATCTACCATTTCGAAGCAGCATGAGTTCCCGAGGAATGAAATCAGCAGCCAATACATAAGACTGGAGGACGCTATACACACCTGTAGCAAAAGTCCTCAAGTCTGCACGCAAATGATAAAGACGGCGAAGAAATCCAACGTCGGATGTCAGGTTTTGCAAGGCCTATACGAACAACTGCACATCTATAAACAATGCAGTAATATCCCGATACATACGCTAAGTACAGCCGAGGCGCTGGGTATTGCAAGACCAGTTGCTGGCTCACTAGACATATGAAATCCAAAGATAGGTAGATTGTAATGGAGCAAGTCATGCTCATAAAGGCACTCTACGACCCCCATCAACTACAACAACACGTCTCTCAGATCAGATGGTACTGCCCTGCTGTCAAAAAATCTCAGATACTGGAGATGTCAAGCTGCATGCTTTAGGAACGTGCGTAATCCCGTCTTCAGCCCATGAAAACTCCAGCAACAGATCTCCTCAAGTAAAAAACACGTCCCTGCCGAAAAAAATCAGACCTGTGTAACAGATGTCCAGCTAAAATGCCCGGACTGCCAATTAAATCCCAACGGAGGTCTGCAGCAACGGGAGTCCTCGACTTCTGCACAAAGTGACCTCGTTCCAGGAAGTGGTAAGACAGAGGTGGGCTCGGACGCGGTGGTCGATGAAGTCAATGAACCCGTCTACGCGTGCCATACGCGGCCCCCTTCCCGCACAGTATGCTGGGTTTCCACGGAAAGAGGAGGCCTGGGTCTTAATTCGTGATAGTGCTATTTAGGCCACATTAAGGAGTCTGGGCCTGACTCCCAGTCGTCGATGTAGTCACCTCATATACTTAATCCGTGCTGACCACGGGGACTGAGTAATCCTATCAACTGACATACTTCCAAGCCACGACTTTTAACGGCTCGTGGTAATTTCAAAGCTCCCCAGACGTATTGTAGTGAGGAATACGCTGGTGAATGGGGGGGGTGAATTTCCCAGAGTTGGCCTCACTTTTCCCTCTCTCGTGCACCAGTTGACTGTCTGAGCCTGTCAGTCATTTGCTGTTGGGATTGGGCGCAGCTTCTGACACCTGCGACAGCCCGTCTGCATGTACCGCACGCGTCTTGGTCATCCATCAGGTCGCGCCAAAGAACACGCTTCCTACTGACGTGAGTAGTGCATGTTCAGTCAGTGCGTTAGGTGTTGTTAGGTTGGCTCATGCGCGGTATATAGTTGTGAAGTAAGGTCTGCGGTGCTTTACCGCAGGCCTTCATAAAGGCGAATATGGCGAAATAGGCCTGTGCAATGACCTAATGTCCCTGGGCAGTGTGTGCAGGTGAAGTGGGTGCGACGGGTGTATATGGGGGCTCCTGACGCTGGTAAGCCAGTTCCATTGAGATGGATTCGGAAGTCCCCAACCAGGCTGATGCGTTATACAGAAGTGCGGTGACAGTAAGGTCAGGATGGGACTGCGGATGTTGAAGTGGCAGTGTGGCCAAATAGCTAGCGCAGATCGGATGAGTAGAAGTGTAGAGGGCTTCTCAGGTGTAGAAGGTAGCTTTGTCGTATAGTCGCAGCCATGGATAGTCATCTGCTCAGTTAGACCCATGAGGCGTATGATTCCTCCGGATGAGGAGTGTGACAATTGTATGTTGGGCTACAGGTATCGGCTCAGCGCTTCTGTGCGATGGGATCGCAAGTGACCGACCTGACCTATGAACGATTCGAAAATGGGATCACATGTGTGGCTGTGTGTTAGGACGGCCCAGAACATGACGCACCGTTCCTGTCTGTCGGAGGTCACGCCCGACAAAGAACCGCAAACCGGCAAAACAGCCTCGCCTAGGAAGCCCGCATGTGAGCCAGACATTAGCACGCCGCTGAGTCACGCGCGACCTCCAGGAGTCAGCAACACGCGAGGGCCTGCCCATGCGGCGCTCAGGACTAGACCAGTAGGGACACGCAAACCAGACGGAGGCTGAACCCTTAAATGCGAAACCACGGACAGAAGGCTTAAGAGTTGATGTACACAGGGTGACTGACGCAGTAAAGCTGTTTTCTGGTTTCCTGTCCGTCCCACACAGAACTGGCGTCATACCATTGAGGGATATAACACTGTGGGTATGGGTTCGTGCGCGTTCTGTACAACTCGGTAAGCGCGCCGTCAGCCTGCCTGACTCGCTTTGGTCCAGCGCATCTGCAGCATAGCCCGTTACGGGGCCGGATAGTCAGTCATAACACCAGAACGGGCAGTGCAATCAAAAAACGTGTCAACCGTCGAACAAGGAATAACGCGGGGAAAATAAAATGAATATCTTCATGCTGTGGCAGGAACGGTTTTGAAAATACCAAGTAGGATTATTGTGGACGCTGAATAGGTGCTGTTATCGCGTGCAAAATGAGTTACATTAGGCGATAACCATTGGTACTGTGTGCCACAACACTGCATCCTGAAGTGCCACTGCGCTGATTAAAGCGCTGAGGACGAGAGCTTCTATCTGTCCAGGATAGGAAGCACTTAGTAGGCTTGCTGGGCAGGAATCCGAGCCACAACGAATCTGCCGTGGAAAGATGAGGGAGTAAAGATGGAACGACAAGAACGTTTTCTTGACGTCAGAGTCATGGACTCGGCTATCATCCTCAGAACTTTTCAGTACTGAGATAATTCCAGATTCAGTGAATAAGCCACATCATGGGGATATCTGACGATCTCCTGGCGAAACTACTTTTCTGTAGTAAAGTTGCCGTAAGTTCTTGCAGAGGCTGGAATAACTTCCTGGGCATGTTGTATTCGGCCAGCCTCAAGAATTGCTAGACCATAGGCGTTTTATTTTTCCCGTCATCGCCTTCAAGGACAATGTGAAAAGTAACCGGTACACCGCTTCTCTGCTACTTTAATTACTTATGCACTTCGATAGTCAGGTTACAGAAATTTATCGACCGTTCCTTTGCAGAAACAAGTTTTTTTGTCAATCTCTAGTTTGATGTTGTATGACTAGAAATCAACATTCGTCCCCTCCCCATTACATGCCTCTTTTAAGCCTTCAACTTTTCAGCTACGAAGTGTAGACTTTTGGATTCCTTCGTTGTAAGGCCTAGTTCGGAGCATGGGACGTCGCATGCCGGGAGACAGTTGTCAACCGTATTCATCACAGTTCACCCGACGAGTGTGCTGATTAACTGTACAGCTTTGCTGACCGTCCTGAACTGCCCAATGACCAGCTGAAAGAGGCGTCAATAAATTCTGTTGCCATGTGTTAACTCACTGATGAGAGACTCGGCGATGGGAAACGTTCGTAGCTGCTTAGACGAATACGACTTAGTAGCTCGTCTCAGTTAAGGACCTCTATCTTGCGTCAACTTTTTTGCAACGCGTATCACTTGGAATCCAGGCGGTCTCGGTAGTTCCGCAAGCCCTGAAGGCCTGGCAAAGCCTGTTGACATGATCATGACGTTGAGAGTCCCTGAAACTCCCACTATCATTCCTACCTCACAAGGACATGACATGCGCATTAACCAACTGGGGCAGTTATGCAAGTGACGGCTCAGATCAGTGGAGTTGCGACTGAGAGCCAGCGTGACCATATGATTCTTAATGTGGCACGTATACCAGAGTTAAAAGATGAATTTGCGCTTGAGGCGCCGACAGGCTCCCGGAACCAACCCCCCACTATTACTTCCCTTATGCATGCTTCTCAACATGCTTTCTGGTTACATCAGATGCAGTTGTTGAGGTTATAAAAAAGTGGGAAATAACAAGTCATTAAGCTATCCGTCCTTAAGTAACACCCGACAGGTTGGAGCTATGAGCCACCTCGCACATTGTAGACTTTGCCGAGCATAATATCCAGTCAAGACCTAACCTCGCCGTTGGGTTTTCTTTCGTAAAACTCCATTGATTGTGTCATTTACTATTTCTCATAATCCTTAAACGTCATTTTTGCTATCTGGGCAGATAAAGGCGTTAAGGCGAAAACACAGTACATGGATCCTCGAAAAGAAATGTACCTTTTTTGGATTTATCTTTCATTTAGGTAGTCCCACTCGTTGAAATGAATGAAATCACCTGTCACATCTTGGAGACCATCTATGCTCGAATGTTGCAGGCCAAGACGAAGGCTTCCGGCACTGACTCCATGATGCGCTCCACTGGAGACGTCTCGATCCCCGTGACTGCCGGTGGATTGTCAGTACTCCAAAATCAGGTCCTAGTCAGCGTACGTAGTTACCCGGATGAGAGGGGCATATCAGTTGCTCAGATCTGTGAGAAGTTGCGCGGCATTCCAGAGCAACAAATTAGGTAGGCTTCTCTACCTCCCTTAACCCACCTCTTGAGTGTTTTTCTATGTCGTGCTTCGCTCAAAACAAAAACTCTTCAGACAGTTGGACTTAAATTAAGAACTATTTTTAGCTGGGTGACCCCGGCTGTCTGTTCGGGAGACTCGTGTTCTGCGGTTGATTGGTTGACAATCCTCTGTTATGCATCTAGTTCTCCCTCAAAATCTGTTCATTTGATTAGTCTTCTTCTTTATCCATTGGTGTCAATCAAGACTTCGTGTTCGACGGTTTGACCTTGGACTCTCCGTCCCAATAGGTTTTAACGGTGTCACCTGTCGTCCTTAATAGTATGTACTGGCAGATATTTTATATGATATTTACCCGAGGTTGATGCCTCCGACTGCGTGCTTCCGTATCGGTTCTTGTCCAGAACACCCTGGTCATTAAAGTTCCGCGTGCTTTCACATCAATTGTGGGCCCCAGTAAAGTTCCTTCATATCCAGAGTAATTTCACTTTCACTCTTTTTTTGTCCTTTCCTCAAGCCCAAGCTTGAACCTCCCGCGTAGGAGAAAACTGTCGAGTTTTTATATTTTCTTACGGGTAGACACAACTCGCACTGCTCTCTGATACATAATAGTTCTTTATTTTGGCTTAAGAAAACTGATTCCTCACAACCTAAGTTTAGCTGACGGCCGCAGGGCACCTTGAAATACCGGTTTCGTCTTCCCTTGCGTCCTCCTTAGCACTTGAAACGCGTCTAATAATAAACAGTGTGCACTTTATTATTAGTTGCGACACGGTCATCACTGCAGTAAAACTAGTATTTCGCATTCTTCTAGATTCCTGCCCTTCTGATTTAAGTTGATGAGCGTCTCCTGGTAATCACTATCACCATGGAAGTTTTTTGCACAGCTGATCGGAAAGAGAGGGACCCGATGGTAGTCGGCTATAACTAAATGGATGGGATTTTATGTTCGTGGAAATGTAGCCAATCCCAGCTTCGACAATTTTTCCCACTATGACTTCAACGTAAAGTCTGGCGTTGCCACACAAAAGGTTACTTCTCTCCTGCCAACTGTAGTTTTTGTAAAACCATACTCGCTAACATCCGAGATTTGAAGTAACGGTGTATGGATGCCTATTCACTACAAAATCTCACTTGAAAGTATGTCTTTCCTGTACAGCCAGGCAGACTTGCGCTTATATTCTTGACATAGAGCACTCGTTTTCGGTCAAAAATATTATGATTACGTCATTGTAATATGACACAATAATTTCGGTATAAGCACCAGCTCGGTGTTTTGCTTGTGTGAAGACTTCATCTCCACTTTTCACTCAATTCTCCTGGATGCCTTTTTGTATTATGAGGAAACCGAAGCTGTTATAAAAGAAGACGAAGGCAGGCTCACTGGGACAGTAGATTTATTTGCCTGAGCTTTCGAACTCGAGCTGCAGTTCACCATCAGAGACTGCTTGAGTGCAGCAACTTGTAAACATTTATATCGCTGTTCCTTGCGAGAGGGAGTACGTCCGTGGCTAGGTAAGGTTTGTGCCGCCTGGTCCACGATGGTCCCCCGGCGTGGTGGCGCCGTTTGCACTTCGCGACGGTGTGAGCTGCGCCACCTGGCTGTGTGCGCTGAGTGCGTGATAACACGCAGGCAAATCAATGTGTCTATTGATAAAGTTGATGTCCGACACCCACGCCTCTAACAGTTCTCGCCCTGTCATGTTGCCGGCTCGCGCCAATATCCGCGTATTGGCGAAGTCGAACTCATGGCCTTCCTCCAGCGTGTGAGTGGCCACTTGAGATAGTGGGCCGCCTCTTCGAACGGCCCGTTTGGGCTCAAGTATTCGTGAGCTGTGTAGTGGCAAGGACAGTTTTGGCACGGGATTTGATGGACTACGCCCGACTGTTCACCTGCGTCCAGCCGATCCTTTATTTTCATGATCCTGCTACGCATGGTGGCCGCCGGATGATGAGCGATGTCCACGTTTAGCTCTGACGCAATGCGTTCAGTAGCCTCGGACACATTCTTTATGTACGGTAGGGAGTGCCAAATTGTTGGTGTCTCTCTTCCGTTTGTCCGTTTTGGGTGCCTTCGTCTTCTTTTAAACAAGAACCTGGGATGCGCATATCCTCCATTCGTGCGAAGCTGTTATGTTTATAGTCGGTCGATCGGTCCAGGATTCTCCATTAGTTGCTCAATGACAGTCGCTCCCACCCTCGGCGTTCCTCCGGACAATGTCAATTGTCTCGTCAGTAGTTTCCTTTCCTGAAATGACCGACAGCGTTTGACGAATTGCAACTCCATCCTTACTGTTACTCATACCGGGCATGGTGCGGCTGTGATCATACCTATTTGATGATGTCTCAAACTTACCTATCCAAACTTGACAGCGACGGATCTGGAGAGCTCTACCCCATTCTCTCCTTTAGTGACGGGGACTGAATACCAAAGTTCGAAGAACCGCTATGTCTTGGCGGAGTGTTTTAAGCCAGGCTTTGAGTTGATTTCTGCGAGGCCTCCTGGTGGGCATCGGCGCCGGATCGAGGGCAGCATCATTGAGTTCATGAAACAAACGACCGAAAACTTGCCCAGACCACATCAGTCGTCTTTTTTGTATTGCGGCTAGTGTGAGCAGTCTCATCCGAAAGTAGTGTCGATTCGGGGGGCGACATTGTCGACAGAAGCCCCTTCTCATCCGAGGCGTTCGGAACTGTTTACCTCTTCAAGTACGCCGCCCAGTTCCGTTACTCGCCGCAGTGACTCATGATGAACACAATCGAACGTTGCGATGTAGTAAACAACGCAGATGACCGTCGGTTTGTGATGATCATGGGTAGATTCAAGGATTCGCAGCAGTTTTATTATCTGTCTGCGCATCCATGCCCGGTCCGAGCTCCCCTAGACGCCCACGCAAAGGAAGACCGGATTTAATATGTTCAGGACATCAACTGTGCTGGGTTGTTGGAATTTTGCGACGTCAGGGCGTCTTGCATGCGACCATTTGAATGCAAGTGAAAGTTAAACTTTCAGGCGTCTGAGACAGCATCTGCTTGGGCCGCTGTGGTGTACGGTTAAGTAATAATTGATCCCCTGAACCATGATTTTCCGTAAGCCAGACCTAACCATAAGGCAGCGGCGGGAAACTTGTTTAATGAGTGTTCACAGTCGCCATGTCATAATGCCGTCATCGATTCTTTTATAAGGCAGTCGGTGTTTCGAACCACAGATTTTGTCCTATTGGTTCGTCCATCGCCAGCATAAGGACCGTCAGCCGTGGACGCCGTGTGGTGGCTTAGACGTGTAGTTATTTACCTCAAAACGGACCCACACGGCCTCGTACTCTCTTCCTACGCCCAACATGCTGCATTTGCCAGAGCCGGTGTGGCCCGAGCTGGGTGCCGGCGCAGTGTTTTTAGGTGCTCAGTCTGCGTCTACCTTCCTCATCCTCCACTTCAACGCGAGCAAGACACAGCAGAAAGTAGGCATCTCAGATTTAATATAAGTAAGTGTTATAAAGACCACACCAGGGCACTACTGCCGCCATTCAGTTATGAGTCGAACGCAGTTGACATCCTTCGAAATCATAACTGTTAGGGCTTTGCGATGGGCTAAAAGCACGTTCGTTTAGCTATGGCGAGGGAGCTAAGGGTTCAGTTCGAACTAGGTTGACCTCGCTTCCTCTTTCCTCCTCTTTACCAGTGGCCAATGCGAGTCAGGCTGACTGGCGTTGAAATTCGGTACAGTGACCGACCTGGTGCGAGTCCCTGTCTAACGTATGAAATACGCATATAGGGCAGCACTCATTGCTTCACACAGACTCTGCATAGCCTGAATACTGCATACCTTGGCTCAGTATTATGTTAACACATCGTACCTCCAGTCGGTATAACTCGACCAGGTCGCTGGCTCGTAGGAGAGGCAAGAGAGAGTACGGTTGTTTCAGTCATTGGTTTTCTGCTACCAAACAACCAGCGCCATTTATAACTGTCAAATTTCCGTAACTTCACCATATCATGAGCGTTTTTTGGCAGTTGTTTATGCGGAGACCAGCAGCAAGATTTCTCTGAATAGTGAATTTTAGGTTGACAACTCTAGTGGATTGCTTATTCACTGCTGGCCGATGACGATATGTGGACTACATTCTGTGTCTCCAATGGTCAATATTTCCTCCTCTTTTCAGAGAAGACCTGGACTTCCTCAGCGCTGAAGGACACGTCTACTCGACCATCGATGATGACCATTTTAGAGCTACAGAGGCCTAGCTATTTTTTGTGGAACTTCCTCACCGAACCTATATCACCCTTATTGGTGTTGCTTTTGTATACGCGCTCGGGCATTTATCAAACAGATTCCACCTTGTTACCTCCCTAATTTCACAGTTTTTACTGGAGCAGGAGGAATTTTAAGAAACTCGCCAGGACGATGATCGTGGATTTATAATGACTACCGGGAGTCCACTGCTTCCCAGACTCAATAATTATTACGGCTTTGGCCTACCGGTATCCCGCAGTTACTGCTCATCTGGGCATCTAGTATATTACGCGATTAATGGCTTGTCACCGCAAGACCGCTAATGCGCGCGTGACAGGTGGCATAGTTCCTTTTATCGTGGCGTAAGTAATACTGGAGCTGTAAATAAGGTAGGCGGGTATGTATAGGATTTGTTTCGCCGATGCAGACTGGAAATTTGAATTCAGGTACCAAGAGGACTCTCTTGGACGTTCAAAATTCAGTTGTATTGTTCTGCCAACTTGAGCAGAGGAGGGGGGGGGGGCGCCGCAACGTGTGCGAAATGCTATTTTCCCCTGGTTTTTGACTTACACGACGGGCCTAATTTGCTAGGTGGTTAAAGGCAGTTAGTAAGCTAGCCGTTTGCGACTGAATCGCGTCCTGTAGGACACCGGAAGCTGGACGATGGCATCAGGTGGGGCGTGCTATCCGGACGTACCGTTGCCGACTAGTGTGGAAGCTGAGCCGAAGCGCATATCCCAGTTGTGCTCGCGTTCGTACCCGCGCGGAAGTTGTGGTTTGAGATCCAAATTTAAAACTTCAGATCCGGATTATTGATTTTCCCATTTCGACGACAGCATACAAGTGGTTTGCCTGACCAGCTGCATCTATTATATTTGCCGTGGCCCGTAAGCCGGGTGACATCTTCCAGCTAGATTGACCCTGTTGCGGGTGTTCTCTTGACCCATAAAAGTATTGCACCCGATCCCATCACCAGTGGGCTTATGCACGCTTCAACCCAACAGGACGTGCTAAATGCCGCGGCATGGAAGGTTGCCTGTTGACGGAGTAACTCAATTCGCTCTCAAAAAGAGCGCCGAACTGCCGCAGTAGCTGAAGCCATGAGCAGACTTTAGCGACTTCGATCCTTAGGCCGGGTCCTGAGGAGGATATGAAGGTAGATGGCAACATATTAGGAATTTTATTTTGTACAGGAGGGATGTGAAGTGTGTTGACAACCAGAAGTGAGGCGCGCGGCCACTGGGACAGGCGCACGAGTCTGTTGAGATGGATTAGCCGGGCAACAGCTTCGCATGTCAGGCATACTAAGCGGCACAGTATCTGACGGGTAAGTTTCTGTGAATGCAAATGTGCAAAATGTACTGGCCAAGGGCACAATTCAGCAAACGAGGCGGGGACTGGGGTCTTCACGACGGCATTTTCACGAGATCCGAGCCCTCACGTGGAAGGCACTAGAGTGCGGCATCACGTTAACCATTGCGCCAAACCTCATTCCTAGACAACTTGACTCAGATACTTTGCCGACATGTGCAAGATGGAGGGGAACGTGAGCTCAATCCAGCACGTAATTTCTTTAAGGTAGAAGCACGGCGTGCCTTGGGCCAGTTTGGATAAGCTAACGATCGCGGTGTCCGGGGTTTGCAAGCTGACGGTGCTACTCCGACCTTTGGAGCAATTATAAGGCCGCAACGGCTCCTACATGTAGTCCTCATGGAGATCTCAGTTGGGAGGACCGCGACACCCAAACAGCCTGCTATTAGCCTGATATTAAGGACCAGATCGTGTGTAGCACTCGTTCACATGCTACATAGTTTCGACAGCCACTGCGTCCACGTCCCTCACCGGTTGTTCTGATTTCGTCGTGTGGTTGGGACGCGGTGATTGTAGGAAGGTAGTGTGGAGTGGATGCAGTGAAAATCCGCTTATTTATAAGCAAATACTTGCGTGGCCACTGCTGCGATCTATTAAGGCAACTGTCATCATCGCTTACAAAGGACGAAGTACCATGTCACTTCATGCATGGCGCCAATCACCAAGTCCTTCCCTTATTTCCCTTGGGAGCGAATCACTGCGAAAATAATTGCATAAATTGAGAAAAACGAAAACGAAGGTAAGACAGTCAAAAACTGTGGTCTCCGGATGATCCATGGTTGTCAGGTTGCCTAACGCCTGCATCAGGTCAGCAGGATATGAACACGACATCGCACAATCTTATTTAGATTTTGTAAATGATACTTGTGAAGGAATTGCCATCCACCTATCAGGTTTGTTTTTAAAAATGAATATCTGAATAAATGAGTAGATTACTGGGTTCCCTTAACAAAAGATTGGCGAATCTTGTAGATTGCGCACGTGGTTTAAACAGTAAAGAATAAGAAATAAGGTGTTTTGTTGGCTCGCTTGGTTTCGTCCATGCAGAGTAGATGTTACAGCTCTTCGATTTTGGGCCTAGTTTTTGCCAAAGTTGCGTTGAAAACATGTTTCCTCTGACGTGGGTAAGACCTTCGGTGCAAATTTTCCTCCAAATGAAAGTGGCCCTTCACTGGTATGCTTGTTGGATAGAATGTGCTCTTTCCGTTTCGACGTCGAACTCAAAGTCAGAGCCCTCGCCTGAGATCACGGCAGTGAGCAAGAAGAGTGAAATGGCCATCCTTAAGTCATTTGCCATTTCCAGTCAGTCGTGCCGCGGAACACAAATTTCCGAGGTTCGAATTAAAAAATTGCGGTCTGACCAAGTAAGCCATATACTCGAAGTTAGTCAAATGACTATCCTAAGCCCTGGCGCGTGATTGATGCATGAGAATGCGTACTGCCCTATCATGCGAAATATAATGTCATACAGATTTGCTTGTACAAAGGACTTATTAGGATATTAGACTATAGCATCCGTGAGCGTATCCTGGCGAATTCAAACAGAAAGCTTAGATTATTGAACAGTGCCAACGAATGGCCATAGAACCAAGTGGGTAAAGCGGATCGGTAGCAAAAAATAGAATGGGAAGAGTGCATTTGGGTGAACCAATGTACACTTTTAATAAGCCAAGAGGATTGTAAAAAAACAACTGACAAATTGAGACGAGATATATCGGCGAAGTGATACACTAGGCTCTGGGATATTTGTCTCCTCCAAAGGACTATGATTTGATTTCAATTGACGAACTCCCGTGTCTTCGGCCTATCACTGCTGTCCATAAGTTTTTCGTCAGTTTTACACTTGAGTTTGACATGCAGCATACACTGATTAGAAGGGATCTAACAGTGAAGGCGTCCAGCACTGCAATAGGACGGAAATTAAAATACAAATTCCTACACCGAGCTGATAGTTTCCTGCAAACATGCGGTTCCTGGAGCAACCTATTAAAACCAAGCCGCCGGCAGAATGACGGCGAGTGTGTAGCTCTAAGCCAGGGATAGAATGCATACGTTACCGCAGGCTATAACACAGTTTTATGGAACATGGATTCCGACGAATTTCGGGTTTGCTGTTCATTGACATCCTTGTTTGTGTCTGCACCACCAAGCGTCGTGGGACCTAGTGTCACCTGGAACTTAAAACCTCGACACTTCGGATAGGAAGGAAACTGAATCCCTGATAAGAAATGTCCCCCTTGTTTTGAATTTCTGTCCCTGAATTTTACGTCGGCATTCCCAAAAGCCCATGCTTGGCATAAGTGGATGACCCTAATTAGAGGTACCAAACTAAAAGAATTACCAATCTAAAGTAAATGGCATATTTCATGAAACCTCGTAAAATTTGGAAGGCGATCCCCATAATGCAGAATACGTCCATACTACATCCTTCAGAATTTAAAAGGGTGTAAAGTAACTATTCGCTGTAGAAGACAAAAGTAGGTTTGCAAATTATTACCATGTAGCTACGAAATAGGGGGGTTTACGATGGTTCCCTCAAATATTTTTACAACTCGACCAGAAAACCGACAATTGCAATTTTAAATGCATTACGGCCTCGGATCTCAGTGACACGAATTCTCAACTTATTCGCTAGAAGTTCACGGATATTTCGGACTGAATTTCGACAGCAGTCTTTTCAGTTGCCCTCAGTGCGACTTTTCCGAATTTTTGTCTACCATTTCTTGGGTACCCTCCATCAACATCGTCCTCCCCCCTCAACGACTTATCCTTCAACCTCAACTGCCGGCTGGTCTTCCCTTGGTCATTACTGGTCCTGCTGATTCCCACTGGTCTCTTCATTAATAACTTGCTCGAAATCGTTTACCGATAAATATCTTATATCTTGCGTTAAATAATTGATAAATTCATAATGCGTATGCCACTTCCGAACCCGGAAAATCCAAAAATGGAGCATTACGTACTAAGAAATACTTCCAAGGGTCCTTTTCCCCTCAACCCCACCAAATTTTGAGGTGCAGACTTGCACAGAATACCGGTACACAGCATAGAAAATTCATTTGATTACACTGACCTAATTAGTTCTTGCGCATCCTAGAACATCATAATCTGCTATGCGATACTCAGCACGGATTTCGTAAAGGCAGATCATGCGTGATAAAACTACTTTATTGTTTAGAGCGCTTGACTCGGGCAGTTGATGGCGGCAATTCGGTGCACGCAGTCTACGTCGACTAGGCAAGCATTCGAAAGTGTACCACATCAGCGTCTCCTGTACAAACTAAGCCGGACAGGCATAAGGGGTAATCTCCTGAGGTTTCTTGATCGGTCGCTCTCAAATCGTCCACGTCGGTGACAGGCAGTCGGCGGAGGTGGCGGCTGAGAGCGGCGTTCCTCAAGGCGCCGTCCTTGGCCCTACCCTACACATTATATACACCAACGACTGCATAAGTGAACTGAATCGTGATGTCGCCATGTTCTCTGATGATGTTAAACTTTGGAGCGCAATCGGAACTGAATTTGACGAAGAGCGTTCGCAGACAGACCTGACCCGACTCGAGAAATGGTCACAGGACTGGCTTTTGCCGTTTAATGTGACTAATGTGACCCGATCTCCGAGCCGGAGGGTTAACCACCTAAATGACGTACCACTGCAGGAGGTGGACGCCCAGAAAGACTTGGGTGTTTGGGTCACGACTTCTCTTAAACCGTCGCTCCACTGCTCTAAGGCAGCCCAGTCCGCGAGGTCAGTCCTTCATCTTATCAAGCGAGTTTTCTCTAGCTTCGATGAGGACTGCTTCGTTAGTCTTTCGGACATTCGTACGGCAACAGTTACAGTTCGCTATTCAAGTGTGGAAACCCTGGACCTCTAAATATTTTAGCATCCTTGAGAAAGATCAAAGGCGGACAATCAAACTCGTTAGTGGACAGGGCTCACTACCCTACGAAACACGGCTATCCAATCTCCGTCTTTTTCCACTGAGCCACGGACAGCTAAGAGGCGACCTCATACAAACATTCTGTATAGTGCGCGGCCAGGACTGCTGACTCTTACCTGCTGATTTCTCTGAGGTATCAACCACAACGAAACTCCGAGGTCATCCACTTAAACTACGTGTGACTGACCCCGGGCTGGACAGGCGGTAGTACTCCTCCTCAAAAAGTGGTCGAGGTCTGGAATGCTCTGCCTGCAGATATCGTCATTTTCGAATCCGCCGAGGCTTTTAAGCGCAAGTTGGACCAACATACCACTAAACGTCATGATGTCACCTGTCCGACAATGCACTAGAATCTCGGTCGAACAATTAAACGTTCTGTTATTACTGCCTGCATTTCAGTAACGTTTGTTTTTTCTTATTATCCCGACTCGTTGAATGTGGGTGCTGGCATTCAATTCGTTTCCCTCAGAAACTGAGATTGTACCAATTATCCATATACTGACTCCTGTACAGCACAGTTAGCAATGTTAATGGTTTTAAACACTTGGAACGATTCGTTTATCTGACTGGTTTCGAAAACTTTGCCAATTAGAAAAAAAACTTCTGTAGCTGTTTGATGTTTCCATTTTCAAATTTTTGATATAATTCGCTTCCTTGTAACAAATAAGGAGTTCAAAGGTTAAACACCCATGTTTCTCAAAAATAAACCGAAACTGAAACCCCAGCAATTAATGAAGTTTAATATTTCATTACACAGGTGGTGCTTTAATGGTGGGAAGGAAACATGTGCTAACACACAACCAAGTTTTAAATCAGTGAGAAATGCTTAGACGTATGATCCGAAAACAGACAGCAAAATATATGAAAGCCGGCTAGCCCCCGGTGTTGCGAACTAGACAATAATTACAGTTCACAACATCAACTGAAGATTCACATGCAAGTAATGTTTGCACGACGGAGCGCGTGGCGACTCCCTGCAGACTTACAACTCCCACCTAGGGCAGTCGCACCGCAATGAGCAGTTATAAATGACGCAGGTCTGTTGCCGACGACACCGGTGAAGACAGAGGTAATCGTTTTCGGTACTCAATTACACCCCAATCCCAGACGGGGATAAACAGCAACTCGAACCCATATCACTTGGTCATTAAGCATTGAGGGTAAATGGTCTATCACCACGGATGTTTTTGTCGGGCTTGGTGACCAGTTCCAACGAAAAAAGTCCGCCATTTCTCGACGACGTTATTACTGGCACCTGGTAACATTCCCGGCTGACTCCAGGACGTATCTCTCTTCTTGGAGGAATACAATGCTCTCCTGTCTTCCGAAAATTGCGGTCCTCTGCCTAAGAAAATTTAGCAAACTTGTTTTAAGGGAGCTTAACACGTAGAAAAACTAGGCCTAGGGTGTCAAACGAATTGCAGTGATGCCATCGACGTAGAACGAGCCAATCAAAACTTTCGAGCATGAGCGGTACTCTTCAGGCCATCCAGGCCGCCACTCAGCCAAACAATGCGTCAACTGGTCTAGGTCTTAGCTAGAAGCACGTCGCGGTTTTGTGGGATGCCTCATGCCCTACAGCCAGTCTGCGCCCCATGGACCGCTTACCGGCCCTCACTTCTCCCAAGCTGTCATACATGGTTGTCTTGCTTTAACTGATATATCCGACGGATCCGACTGTCATGTCAGATTTACTGGGTGATCTAGTCAAACATTGGCTGCATAAACAACCGAGTCGTACAATACACCTGGTGCCACGACGGTGACTTCCGGGCTTTGAATCCGTATCACTACCTCCGCCATGCGTTACCAACCGTTTTTCGCCCTCTGCGCTTCTTGTTAAGCGGATTGGCTTTGCGGTTTCCTATCGTTATCGCTCGAACTTCAACTCTCCTGTTCCCTTGATATGTTACTCTCAATATGCAACGACAGGTGGCGGTTAGGGACACTTTGCGGAATAAGTTCATGCCAATATGTCCTGCCCCTAGCGAGGCTCACTGGCTTTAAAATAAAACTCCAACAGACTCGATCATCACTTTTTGAGAAAAACAACTACCAGCAGGAATTTGACTTTGATGGCCCTACGCAAACGAAGACAGAAAAAACGGATAAGCAAAGTCAGGGGGAGACCTAAGAGGGACTTGGCTATCCTCCGTAAGCTTCTCGGTGGTATAAACAACGTGGAAATAGGTTATAGCAGATGTGGAACCTCGATTTCTACAAGTGCTGCCTAGACCAGGCATGCTTCCAGGATAACCAACCCTGCACACACCTTAAGTCGTCGCAAACCGTTTCTCGACTTTGAATAAGCAGCGAACATATACGACTGTGTAGTAAAACCAACAGAAATATGAAGCCCCTTCAACTTGCCCAACATCTACTATTAGTGGTCAGACTGTAGTCTGACAGAAGAGAAAGTGACTAAAATATATGATCAGAGTAAAGAGACCTCCAGATGGAAAATACATACTCAGTTAAGCGAAACATACATAAGAGAGGGGATCAATCCCCTTAGAACGCTGGCTTGTGAGTTATGATGCCCACCTCAACAGTCATGAAGACGAGAATGAATGCGAGGAGTGTGAAATAAAAGGCGGCTGTGGTGAAACTGGGACTGATCGGCAACGCCGAGCACTTTCGACGCGATTGGCCTGACTGACTTCCGCTGCCTGTCGAAGGGACTTAACCGGCACCGGCAGAGGTGGATGCACACTACCTCCCGTCGTGGCTACGCTGCTCATCGTAGTAGGCTCTGATAATGCCGTAGTAGTTGAGGGAAACGCTACAGAAGCAACATCATCTTCGTCCTCATGATAAGCATTGGCATCATCGTGAACGCTGCTGACAGCACTGGAGCCAATTTGGTTGAGAATCGCGTAGAATTCAGCCGCCGTCGTGGGGCGCGCGATGGGATCTGGGTATTTTGAATCCGCGGTGAGCAAAGGAGTGGGCTCTCGTAACCTATGCATGGAAGTGGAGGCTAGTGTTTTGTCTAGAGTTCCTTCGGCGAATTCACGGGGTTTTACGTTTTCCGGCTGGTCTTCGGTCTCAAGAAGGACTACAGATTTCCGACGTTTTCGCGGCTCTACATCCACCTCCTCTATGTCGCTGCTATCAGAGATGAGGATGGGTGAGTTGTTGTATCTGTTGGTCTTTAGGAGGTGATCAAATCCGGAAGAGGCCGCAACACGTCTTTTAGAGCCAGATGGTAGGTTGGACTTAACCGCTGTTGACTCGATCAGCCGCTTGAAACAAGCCCTGAGGGCGGGAGGCCACTGGTCAGGTGAGGGCAGGGCTGGGTCTAGGTGCTTAATACAACAACAACAATGCGTCTGATGATCGGCACAGCATGGGGCGGTTGCGGCCGAGGCTGCAGTTGCAAGGTGATCTGAAGGTCTCACATGCGTGGGAGGAGAGGCGATTGAAGAGCTGAAAGATAAATCGCTTTCCGAGTCAGAGAGTACGATCGGCTGTGCACTAGTCAGCCCAGTCATTTCTTGTCGAACGCGGCCTTCAGAACGTGCATCTGGACTCTGGCGGCATTCTCCCTCAAGTTGTTCCACAGATCCGGTTGCCTGAGATGGAAATACATTGGACTGGTCGATAATAGGATCGCCCGGTTGCAGAACCCTCTCACACTCCACATTCTCGACAAGAACTTCCACTTCCGTAGACTCTTCGTCCTCAAGTTGTATCAATTCTACGGAGTTCTCTTCCTGGAATCGGCGATCATTTGCTGGTGTCACCTCCATGGACCATGATGTCGGATCGGCATTTGGCAAAATGACAGACGCTGGGAGATTTGGGACAGTCGGAGCAATATTGAAAGTCCTTCTATTACCAGTGCCTACTGTCTGAATGAAATCGCTGTCTGCAGCTAACTCCGTCCCGGTCAAGTTCACCAGAGGCTGCAGCTCCAATTGTCTACCATAGACCCTATCAAAAACATACAAAGCATCGGAGAGGGAGGAAGATGTCGTGGCTGTCGACGTCTCACTCATAGTATCAGGTAGTGATGATGCATGCAGCAGTCGTGCCGATAAAAGGCGCCCCAAACTAGCTTCAGAGCGACTGTTGGTAGGAGAATTGGAAGAGAACAGGAGAACGAGGCCACGAAGACGGGTAAGCGCTGTAGTGTGTGCTCTCAAAAGCAGCTGGAACGTCGGGTCAGACTGGCTGGCACCTCTGTCATGAACGTAAGGCGCCAGGGCCTCGGCGAAGCGAGCATGTTCCACAAGCTCCCGGATCACGCACTGACTGATGATCTGCGAAGCGGATCGGCGCTGAGTAACGCGACGCCAGGCAAAGGACTCTATTGAAAACCAGGCCACGTGCGCGACGAGAGAGCAGGCAGTGACTGCGGGCTGTTCGCAGGCCCTATGATGGCAGGTTCGGGTCTGGCTGCCCTCCTCCCCGTCCGGGGAGGTATGGGAGTGCACATGATGTCGAAGGGTCGAGATGGCGGTGTCCACAGTACGCCGACTGAGCACACCGCGTAAGCAACGAGTGTTACGGGCGTGATCAGAGGTGGAAGGCGCTCGACCCACGAGGTCGGAAGGATGATCAGGCGAAGATAGAGCGTAGTGCGGGAAGAGACGAAAGAAAAGCCAGGAGACGAGGAAACTCTTGAAAAGGCCCACCGGTTGGCCCACACCGCCACCTTGCCATTCAGATCCGCTGGACCTCCTCACACCCGGACCCACATGAACAGCCAACTGCCGAGGCAGAGTCTGCAGTTGGTTGTCGCTGCCGCCGGGCTGTAGTAGCGAGTGTCGAAAGAGACAGACTAGGCTGTCATAGCGATCGACGCTGCTGCCGAAGCGGGCGAAATGTTCTAACTCCCAACGAAAGTGCTCCAACGTGGCGTCGGAGACGAGACTTTGCGCTGAGAGGGCCGGTTCTTGGCGCAAAAAGGCCAGAAAAGCGGCTGAGTTGAGGAGGGAGACGTTACAGATGTGACGAACTACGCGCAGAGCGAGATCATCCAAGTAAGTCGTCTCCGAGTCGGGTGAGAGGGGTCCGTACCGGAGGGGGGCCAAACATACAGAGGGTAAGGGGGAGTTGCGACTTGTGTCAGGTACGTGACTGGGATCAGGCATGTAAGCGAGCCAAGGCGCCATGGCTTGCAGCTCACGACGAACAAAGGCGACCAGACGGTGCGTGAGTGCTTCGTTCTCGGCCAAAAAACTAGGCCGTATACAAGCTCTGAAGTCGGATCTATTTGAAAAAAAGAGAGGATGAAAATGGTGAACACCGGAATGCACTGCAACATAAGGCAGGGTGGAAGGTACTTCGTTATATAAGGACGTGATTTACACCAAGACAGTCTTGTGCTGAATCTGCATTATTTTTCCATCTCATATAAACCATGTTTCAATGGCAAAACAAAGTAATGACTAACAGGGGTGTTGGGGACCGGTGGTTGAACCTAAGTCACCGTGCGTGACACACGCGATCTAACCCCCACTAAGGAGAATTACCATTAAGACAACGGTTGGGAGTCACTCTCTCCACTCCAGTAAAATGGCAAGTCAAGTCGACTGGAGACGAGAGAAGACAATAGATATCGCGGCCTAAAGCCTCCGATTACCGAGTGTCACGCCTACCGAGTCAGGCTACAATAAAACAACAAGAACTGACGGCCATGCGCACTAACATAAACAGTCTATACAATCAGTCTAGCCAACTAAATCGAAGTTACACTAACGTGTGGCTCTCAGGACCGGATCCAACATCCGTGCGGACGAAAAGAATGCGAATATAATGATCAGGTTTGCTTGCAAAGTGGATACACGAAGAGTAAAGTCTGTGGAGGAAGACGAAATGGAAAATTGCTTGAATTGGTCCCAAAAACGGAATAACCTCACCACTTCGTACACAGAATAAACTGGGACAGAAGATTCATTTGCCTGAGCTTTCGAACTCGAACTGGAGTTCATCATCAGAGACTGCTTGAGTGCAGCAACTTGTGAAAATTTATATCGCTGTTCCCTGCGGGGGGAGTACGTCCGTGGCTGGGTAAGGTTTGTGCCGCCTGGTCCACGATGGTCCCTCGGCGTGTTGATAGAGTTGGTGTCCGACACCCACGCCTCCAACAGTTTTCGTCCCGTCTTGTTGCCGGCTCGCGCCAATATCCGCGTGTTGGCGAAGTCGAACTCACGGCCTTCCTCCAGCGTATGAGTGGCAACTTGAGATAATGGGTCGCCTCTTCAAACGGCCCGTCTGTGCTCAAGTATTCGTGAGCTGAGACGTCGTCCTGTCTGCACTCAAGCAATCTCTGATGATGACCTCCAGTTCGAGTTCGAAAGCTCAGGCAAATAAATCTACTGTCCCAGTGATCGTGCCTTCGTCTTCTTTTAAACAAGAACCTGGGATGCGCATATTCTCTTCCACTCGACAGAATAAACTGCCCCATTATTGCCATATATAAAAACGGAACCACGCCGAATAGTGACATGTATTACGGGAACTGCGCCGAGTATACGAGTGTCCTCAATGAGTGCTGCGAAAACTTGCATCACGTCAGTCAGCGCACCTAATCTTGTCTGCAGTCGCCAGCGAGACTGGGACAGGCTGTAGGTGCGTGAATGAATGAAGGGGGAATCGACTGCTAAGTAGCCATCAGGGAAAGTAAGTGATTATGTCCCTCGCTATAGTACATAATAACGCACCTGATGCTATTAGGGCACATGAAAGGCCGCGGTTTTGAAGTTTTCCGGCTGACAGGATAACACAGCCCTACGCGGGACTGAGCGTCAGGCTGACATGGTTCCTTCTGAGCACGGCTTACATGAACTGCTCCATGAATGACACCTGGTTTGAGCTTGTCGTTTGTGGTACTTGTTCTCGTGCCGTTTACTTTTGACAGCCACTGCGCTCAGGCTCAACTCCACTCGTAGACGCAGAACAATTGTTCTTTGCGACAAAAAATCAAGTGTTAGTCGTGGGTATATCCTCTCCGTAACATTGACGATCCTTATTGCTTGCGGTGGGCCAATTTAACAGAATGGTCGGCTAAAATAGGAAAGTGGAACCTACCACACCCACGTCTGATTACCATGGCATAAGGGTCAGAGGACTATGCGTTGTATATGGACGACGAAAAACGATCCTAGAAAGCGTTGAGAGCACGACGTCGTCTTGGGCTGGACGATAATGAGGAATTTCGCGAGTGCGCATATCTTGCCTACTTTTACTTGTGATAGTATTGGCCGTAACTGACCATCATAATAGCGGTCTCACTAATGCGAGAACCGAGTGACCCTCGTGAACGTCTGATACATGCTGTGGCAATCAGGTCGCGTATGGCATGCCCAGATGATCAGTTTGGCTTTGGCAGTCACTGCGTCCGGGTCCACATCCGGTTGTCATGACAGTGTCTTGCCGGCGGAGCCAGGTGATTGGAGGAGAGAGTGCGATAGATTTTGAGAAAGTCTGCTTTAATATAACCTAATTCATGCACAAGTCATCGTCACGCGCCTATTCCGTGGGGGGGGGGGGGAGGGAGGACAAATAGTGGACGTTGTCGTACACTCGAACTGTTGTATTGTGGCTGACTCAATAAAAATTCGAATTATCACCCTGCACCACAGTCGATCTGCGTCATACCCCCGAGCGAAGTTGAGCCTGTCGGTACGTAGTCCCACTGACCGAAGACTGCAGAGGTGCAAGAGAAGTCAGCTCATTCTATGCCCATAAATGTCCTCAGTTGGAAACCTCGATGTCATTTGGAGATGACCTTACTGACATCATCAGTTAAAATGCCGAAGCATCGCAGTCCGCGAGTAAGGAGGCTGCGATTGACCCGTTCTGCTTCTGGCCAACTACCCAATGAAAGCAAATTCGGACAAGCAAGCCAAAAGCACCGCTGACGGAATACTTAGGGCGATGTAAACCCTCGGAGGGTACAGACCATGTCTCACATTTATAAAGTTGTCTTCGAGAGGCCCCCGCAGACTCGGTCTGGTTACTCACATCGATGTCGGAAGAGGACCGCGCGTGCCTGATTTAATCAGTGACGGACTTCATTGTTCCCTCCCATCGATTGGCAGAAAGGTGGACTAGAGATAGAGGATATCCATTGGCATAGAAGCCTCACTGTCTACCATAACCAGGCAAGAGTCGTGAGCGCAAAATCGCATACGATTGTCTTTATTTGAAGGTTATCCACTTTCAAGCCTATTTCTGCTGCGCTCGCACCTATCTATAACTCAGTACATTACGTTTCTGCAAACGATCTCCTAACGTTACCAGCGCATTCAAGACCTGTTATACACGACCATGGCCTACTGTAATACAGGGGTGGTCCGCAAGTGCACGCCCGTCACCCAGTCGGATAGATTCGGAGGAGACGCAGCCCAACGAACGACGAGGGTCGCACGAACTTCGGTCCTTGTTCCGTGATAGAAGGCTCGAATCGAAAGGAGTACTTTCAGTTAGATGTCATCATGCAGCGCGGCCCGCTTCCTGAAAGACGGACTAATAGACAGTTTAGGAGCCAACATCTAAAGTCCATTCTTCGTCCGCTGGGCTACGAATTTCAGGTAGAAACCAACTTGATAAGCACCTGCATGACAGATTTCGGCTGGTGAAGACACCGTAGGCAAACAGTAAAGCAAGTAGCACGGATAAACGACCTAAGCGAGGCTGGATAGAATGATTTCCTGACGGGAAACAGAGGACGGTGGATAACGGTGGCTGCTAGCACTCGTATGAACTTTTTGCCCTTAGCAATCTCGTTCGACACTCTACTTTCACATCCCACATTGCAGTAAGCAGCAATTAAATCCAGCGTGACTTACGCCGGGCCTATAGCTGAAGATATTGCCGTCGTGGGTGATGATTACGACTAGTACGGAGTGAGGGTGGACGAGGGAAAGTGGTAGGAGTAGAAGCAAGGAGGAGGAATGGCGAATAACTGTACTGGTGTACGATTAAGGCACTAGTTTGTTAATAGATGTCTGACGACGCCTAGAACACAGATAACAGACTTTAAAAACACCGCCTTTGCACATTCACTCAATATAAGGAATATTGATAGGGGTTGAAGAGTTTGGCGACACTCACGGCATTATGTCGGCGCTAAGTACAACAGAGTAGAGATTTTGCAGGTAGATTAGCTGGCGTACGAGGTCCGGCTCCAGATAGGCAGGGGCGCCTTCGGGCAGGGCGTGAGCAACGAGCGATGCGATCATCAGTTGGTGCTGATCGACAATGGAAGTCAGTCTATTCGGCGAGGAGGATAAAATGTACATAGAACATACAACAATATTGAAAGCAGTCGACAGGCAGGGTTCTTGAAATAGACATAATTGGTGAGAAAACTGTATATCACCATGCTCTGTGCTTGGTACTTCCGGGAATGAACGAAGAGTAAAACAGAGAAGAAGTGCATTCATAGATATTTTGGGAGTGGGTGCGTTGGTTCGAATCCCACCGAGGCGCCGAGTTTTTCACAGTTAGGTAAAAACGAATTATTCAAAATCTGTCAAAACATCTATGATTTACGTGAGCCTGGTAGTCATCTGGTGGATTCTAGGTGAATTACTTGGGAAATCCTGCTTGGACAATCAACTTACTGTATTAGAATTGGTGGGTTCTAGACGTTGCAGTAGGTTGAGCGGGTAATTTGACCCAAATGTGATTAAACTTGCGTCATAAATTTCGAGACCTCTCATTCAGCTGCATACGGTCATTGCATAGTTATATGACAAGGCAAAATTGTTCAATCAACGATCGACCTAGAGAGCTAAAACGTGATAGGTAACCTGAAACATGGGTCTAGTATGCGGGTGCATATGGTGAGGGGGGAGGGGGAGAGAAGTCATCCAAGTATGAGAGAACTTGTGCGGCGTGATTTGGAGTGCAACGTGCGGGGAGCATTTAGTAAATTAAATTCTGCATGCTTTGTCGCCTTCGCCTTGTTCAAATTTATCCCGGGAAAACACTGCTTCAATAAACTCGCGTCGTCCGGCGGGGCCTCGTAGCTCAAGTGGTTAGAGAGTTGGCTGTACTAAAGCCTACCCCTTACTGTGTGGGTTCGAATCCCACCGAGGCACCGAGTTTTTCACAGTTGGGTCAATATGGAAAAGTATATTGTCAAAAGTCTAGGACTGTCGTGGTGATGTTACATTCCTGTGGACGACCTCAATAAGCGTCCATTAAGAACACTAAAGAGGTGATAAAATAAACAAAGCAACGAGCAACTGCAAATGGACAAATAACAGGTGCAAGAAATGCAAGGGGGAGAGTCAGAAACCTTAACAAATAAGTCAGCTCAAAACGTCACCGGACGTGACTTTCAAAGACATTAGCGTCTTGGCAACACCTTGATCTAGGCTACCTTTAAATGATTGATTTTCTGGCAAAGGGTCGTCCTTCCCTTTTACTCTTCTATGGACACTTCTCATGTGTATTTTTGACTTTTTACCATGGTTGTAAGTTACCGTAGGTGATGTAGAGCCTGCAGTTCGTTGACCAGAATTCCGATGATCAGTAATAGGCACCTCAGACGTGTACTTTAGAATTAAATCAAAGCGCAAGGAAAAGTCTCCTTTTCTTGCGGAATATATTTCTAGGTTATTTTACTAACCAACAAGGATACAATTTCGGCGGAAATCAACGCTACCTTTTATTTAGGCGATTTCCTATGTTCGAAACTGTACCAGACTACATCTGCGCCTTTGTCTAGCGGGGGGCGCAGGGCTAAACGAGAAAGTTCTACCGATACAATGCCGCCTTCTAATATTCCTGTTTGTAAATTTGCGTGGATTCGTGTGCTAAAGTACGGGCAACTTTTCGTTTTAACATACGCGTGATTCTAAGGTATATACAAATATTCCATAAGAAACCGCGAAAAGTTTCTGTTAGTGATGTGCAATTTAGAAACGGAACAGACACAGTTCAAGAAGTATTTTAATCTGAATAACGTAACTATGGCAAAACACAGAATTTAATGACGTAATCAAGTTTCGTTTCATAAATTTCAACTACTCACGGTCACTTCATAGTTATAAAATTAAAAGGCTCAGTAAGAAAACGTCTTAAGACGATCAAACCGGATAGGCACATGAAAGGTAATCAAACATGTGGGTGGACATAGTGTGTGGAAGAGGGGATTGGTATAGATGAGCGGGCATGGGTTACAGCGTAACCCCGTCAAACATGATATCAGCAGCACAGCATGAAACGACCCATGCCCCGGCAGTGCGCGGCGAATCACGTGATCCACCTGCTCACAGCCCTGGTCCCCCTCCCCCATACTGTCTCTAAATGGCGTGTGAGGCCCGATAATCGCCAGAAGTAGGACCTTAAACGTACCATGTGGACCCACTACATAATCAGTGTACACCAGGCCCTTCGTAATCGAACTCATGGGTACCTTATTTTTCGTCCTCAACAACTATTCCAGTAGATGTACAACTGATCGAATCGCCAACTGCCTCTGCACGCGCCCAGAGTCCGCACCGGCAATTATGTGTAGACTCGGAGATACGATCTAAAGGGACGTACATAGACAGGATATCTGTAGTTAGTCTAGATGGAATAGCCGCTGTGGTGCTTATCGACAAGTTATAGGCGGCGTATGCAGATTCAGTTGTTCACCGGAGCCGTCATTTGATCACGTCTGACACATTATCTCACTTGAAAAAAGCGAAGTGCACGCTCATGAACTTTTTGGTTCGGTCATTTCGGTTGGATTTTCTCATGCAGGATGGCGATATTTATCGACAAATTTCTGCCGATACTCGTTTCCAAAGTAAGTGCCCCTCACGGGGCGAATCCCATCATCGATAATATCTGGGGAACAGACAGATGATTCTATTGAAGGAAGTTTTGTTTTATCTGAATTGGAACAAAAGTCAAAAAGTGCATGTGCAGTCTTTTCCGGGTGGTTTTTAAACAGGTTGGGTCCGTTTGATCGCCCAAAGTCGGCTTCTTATTAAACCCTGAATTTTACTACGTCATTATATTCTGCATGTTTCGCCACGTTTGCCCAGTTCACACTAATTGGGGGAAAATAAAGCTTCTAATATCTTAGTATTTATATGGCCACCCTGAAGTGCAACTATAACCGCAGATCTAAGCCTATAAATATGCAGATGTAACGAAGATGGTTCTAACAAAAAGAAAAGTTTATGTCGTTTGCGGTAGATGAGTTATCACTATCTGTGAGAAGAACGCACGGGTGAAAAATGATCCCAATTTTTTCCCTACTGTGCTTTGGAAACGATGGACATGGACATTCACTAGTGAAATAACCAAATCAGGTACTTTTTCAAGACATAACTCAGTAGAGATTTTTTAACTGGTCAGGAGCACATCCATCGTAGACCTCTATTGTGAAACTCCATTTTATCCGACCATAAGGTTTCGTGTTTGAGTAAGTCTACAAGTATGACCCAAACTGCCATATGCATAAAAAGAACGTCTGAAAGCATACCACCTACGTAAGTTTCCAAGAACGGTCTTATCTGGAAAGATTTTGTAAACACACAAAAAACACAACCTGTCATTTTGAGCAATCGATTTAGAACAATGAAAGGAGTATTCACTGACATTCTGAGGACGCCAAAAAAATCGACAAATTTCATCTACGCGAGAAAGCACACAGTGATATCACGGGGAAAGGATCTCTTGATACACAGAAAATGGCATGCCTTCGCCTGCATCTGCTAATCAGATTCCCATGCGTGCGTGCGCGTGCGCTCTCTCACATATACCCGCCAGCATCAGCGCCAACACGCGCACACACTGGGACCGGCAGCAGCAGTAGCCCAAAACACACACACAGGATAGTTCGACCGTCATGACTACCGGTGCCCACCGTGTGCTCAACAGCAGGGCGAAAGCAGGCAGTGCGACTTCCGTGTAACTTCTTTTATAGTGATAGTAGGATTGCGCAGCACCTACCGCACTCTCTCTTCCCCCACCTGAACCCGGTATCAAGGCAGAGTCAAGAAGACCGAAAATGGAAGAGGATGCAGATGGCTGGCGCGGCCGGAACCGTCCATAGGCGTGCTGGCACGCGCGGCTCGGATCAGACGGAGAGGGAGTGCCATAAAAGCCACATTAAGGAGGCCTTGCAGTCTGATTCAGTCCACCAGTCGACCACTTCACACAAACACACACTGGACTGCCACGCGTTTAGCGCACCGTGATAGCTTCAAGTACTTCAGATTGTCTATAGTGAGGAAAATGCGCTGAAACGCCGAACTAATTCTCTACTGGCACTCTCAGGCCCCAGCCACTGTCCGAGCCGGTCACCCAATTGATGCTGAGATTAGGAATGCGGGGAATGGGCGCAGCGACTGACATATCTAATGACCTTCTTTGCGCGTGCCCCGGCTATCAGCTATCTTTCCCAACCAGCTCGGACAGCCGATGGGTGCACGATAGAGTAGAGTGAGTGAGGTCGACTCTCAGCGCACAATTCCTCACGATGAATAATCTAACGCCCTTGTGTCTATCAAGGTGCGTTAAAAGCCGTAGCTTGGAAGATTGCCGTTACACTTACATTCAGGGTTTCCAAACTACAGGTTGTATATTTACTGTGTACGAAAAATCGTATACTTCTACAAGTTATTAAGAGGAAAGCATGTAGGGCTCATACAATTTAACAGTAGATTTGAGACGTATCGTAAACTTTACAAGCAACATTAGGAAACTTAGAAACACGGACTTGAAAAACCCCATAATTGTAAACTTGTTAAGACCGAATTATACCATTCCTTCAAGTACAAAATTTGAAAAAGACGTAACTCTCAGCTAAATGAGGCAAAGAACGACTATTTCATGTATGTTTTCTATGACATATATTAGAAATGATAAGGGTATTGAAAATTAATTAGAAAAATTAAGCAGTCACTTTTTACAGGGTATAGTTTTTGCAGGCCGCCGGAAGGAAGTTCGTTCAAAGGCCAGCATCCCCGAGTAACCGAAATATATTGGTGGTTGTACTGCATGGGGATTGGCATTAAAACCCCACTTAGGTAATCCTTTCGATTCGAAAACGCATTTCAGGATTTTGATTAACATTTTATGAGTTACCACATCCACCGTACCTTCGAAGCGGCGCCAGCGTAGTGTACGTATGACCTTATAAATGTAGTTCAAACAACCAACGATAGAAAATAGTATGTGGCGAGTAAAATAGGTCAACTGATGTGCAATTTAGACAAATTTTACGAAAATGGAGGCCAAACAAGAAATAGCGGCTCTAGTTCCAAGCCCGCGAGGAATGTAGGCTTGGTTCTGCAGCGAGACTTCAAAAACAGCCTATGAACAATATCGGTGGGGTCGGCAAGGTTGACTTCGCCAAGAAATGTCACAATAAGGGAAGGACTTCTGGTCTACTTCCTTAAGGGGGATTGGCAAACATGCGTGCGGCACGTCTGACCTAGTCTCTGATTCATGCGCAAAAACATCTGTTCACATAACCAATCACGATTAGGATCCGCAACCAATAGGAGACGCCAGCTGAACCGGTTCGTTCAATAAAGGGTTTGTGTCATGATCTGCTCAGACCAAGGTCTGCGTGGGCATTGTTACTGACTGACCCCTCGACGTTTAACCTGAGTCTGTGACAAACGCCGAAACAGGACCGCAACTTCAAAGAACATTGCTTTCTAAGTGCACGCGTTGCAACCTAATTTTAATAAAACCGCACACTATTGGAAACGTAGGATCCGGATATAAAGGGAATCTGGTCAGCAACTGTAAGCCTCAAACTGAGAGGTCTATCAGTGGGCGTATTCGTACGGCCATGTGATTAATATTTACTGTCCTTGTCCGGAGAACAAGGGTGCTTAATTTGCACTTATCATTTCAAATTCGATTAACCCGAATCGAGCAATAAAGATGGAACTGATGGGACGATAGCGTGGGTAAGAATTAGACATTCTTTGTTCTTTTGAGTAGAGGCGGACAGAAGCCGTTCGGAGTCGGATACTAAGAGCCTGACGGGGCATCCCACATTTCCACTGGCCTCATCGTTTAAGCTTGGATGGACTGCAGGATGGAAAGCAGAAAGAAGCGCACAGGCAGATGTAAAATGGCCATTATCTACGGTAAGGGAGCGAACCTGAAGCGATTTATAGCCAAAAGGTAGGGGGTCCGGAGAACCAGGGTAAGCGCAATATTCTGGGCCCTCCCCTTCTACGTCCCAATTCATACTTGACATTAAGTTATAATTGGTGTAGTTTAAGCCTTCTGTGATGAGTCGTCACTTTTCGACTCCAGTACCACTGCCTTTTACCGTTTACGGGCTGATAGTTAACACTTCACGACTACGCCTACTTAGCATCTCGTAAAGGGTGGCTGACAGTAGCAAAGGAGACTCACGAAGGGCTTTCCATCGTTACTGCAGGTGCCTCCTCTGACTCCAGAGCTCGTGTAAAGAGCATACGAGACCAGGCACCAGGTTCCCGGCCAATGCGCATGGACGACGGGCTGACTGTATTCATGAAGCGGTGAAGGCGTGCATTCAGCCGGTGGTGATCTCTCAAGAGGTCCTGTTGGGAACGTAGCGCAGACACGAAGACCTCGTCATACTGAGAGTCCGAGGCTATTGAGTGGAGGATGCGTTCCGCCACACCTTTACAGAGAGGGCAGATGGGGTTCACCTGCACCCAGGTGGTTATGCATTGAAAGCAATACGTATGCATGCAGGGCAGGAGGATGGAGCGATTCACCTGCTGGCTGAGGCAAATAACGCAGTCTTCCACGGTGGAACATGCGACGGGAAAGGGTTGTTGTTTGCTCCCGCGCCTGCTTGAAAGAGGCGACCTATCACGTTCTAAGTCTATAGGGATAATTTCGGAAGAACCGGGATTGCCGCGGCTGGTACCAGCAAACGTAAGAGCGCTCGCGGAACGTGGCGTGGAGAGATCAAGAGGCGCAGAGGCAGACGCATATGAGTCGGCTCGTGGTGACGTGCGTGGGTTGCGCTGACAGGTACAGCAAGTGGGCGGACTCCGATTGCCGCTGTCATCGTAGTCTCGGTTAGGGTGAGAGTGTTCATCGTCTGTTGATGCAGCCACTGGCAGTTGGGGCTGATTTCGCCCTGCGGTGAGTGAGAGGCGGCATCTTCGCGGGGCACGCTCCCTAGACATCACAGTTACGATGCCCTGACTAGTCTCCGCATCTGGCGAGACGATTAGGTGGAAGAGGCTGGTGGGTCTGGAAGCAGAAGGTCTCGGTTGGTGACGAGAGGACCAAGCGACGGCATCGTTGGAAAGGTCACTGCCGCCGTCATCACGTCCGATGTCAAGACACACAGAGTAGGTGGATTGACTATCGGGATTTGCTGTTGTTGGACTGTTTTCCGGGGGTGCTGGGATTACTGATGTCACTCGACTGCGACGGCGTGTCACAGGCGCCCGGTGAGTGGACGTGGAAGAGGCGGACGAGGAACAATGGGGGGAGGACCGCAGACACCGAACCTTCCGGTGGGGACTAGGCCAACCGCGGAAACTGACGGTCGCGTCGGACGAGAAAGTGGCACAAGACAAGGAGGAAGAACTAGACGAGGACGAGGAAGATGTGGAGGAAGAGAGCGAAGAAGGGGAGTGTGGAGAGGGAGGACTAAAGAGGGCTACAGAAGGCACTATACTACTTAACTGGGCGGCCGACTGTGGGGACGGAGAGTCAGGAGTACTCATGACTAGATCCGTTCGGCGCCGACGGCGGTGACACCGACTAGAGTTAAGACAACGAGGGAGAGGAATCGGCCTGGTTAAGTGGGTCTGTGAGCGATAAACGCCGGCTGGGTGGAGCGCAGTGCAACTGCAGAGAGGCGAGAGCGGACGGGGAACAATTGGCGCCGGACGTCTGCGTCGGAACATTCAAACGCACACGGGCGCCTGAGAGAGAACGGAAGGCAAAGAGAAAAATAGACAAAATAGTTAGAATTATGCTTCAAGCACATCAGTAACAGTGCCGCTAGGCAAATATGCAAGCAACGATGAAATGTGCATCCGAGAAAATATCAGTCTTCACTAGACTCCAGCCAAGGGCGGAGAAAGAAACTATCCCCCTCCAAAAACCGTAACCGTATCTAAAACTCATGAGTAGATCTTTTAAAGATGGTAACATGACTGCCCGAAATAAAAAAGTGGTCAGGGTGAAACTAGTGAATGCCGTTGTCTTAGGCGTGCAAATAACCGAATGGCTGCATTGCTGTTTTTGAAAAACCTCAGTCTACCACTACAATATTTCCGCACGCGTAGAAGTGGCTTGCGTATAAGATAAAACGAGACATATGACGAATAGACCTCGAATAAATTGTGCAGTAAGCATAGTGGTCGAAGGACAACTGGGTAGTGTTAAAATAAAAGACCAAACTTTGGTGATGCCGTTAACTATACTTTCATCAAATGGAAGGCTTTATAGTGTCGACTGCAATAGTCTTTAGAAATTAACACAACTTGGCATAACTTCATACGTATTGTAAAGCTGTTCTTCGATAGAGAGGCTTTCCAGGGATCTGCGGGAACCTCGATATAGGAAAACTCACTAGCATATTTTGTATATTTGTTTTCAACAAGCGCGAATTATATGCACAAGACGTTATGATGAATTTAGGTTCATATGGTCGGTTTGACGGGAATTTCATTTAACGAAACTTGGCTAATTGAAGACAATGAACATCTCGCATAGAGAAAAACTACTTAAGGCCTCTAAGGCATGCGCTTCTAAGCGCCTGGGTCTTTCCAGTCCGTTTAAGAAACAGGCCAGTTGTTAGCAACATACTGCATTTATACTGTTTAGATACCTATTCGAAGAGAAGTAGCAAACCGTTTTGAAGAATCGAAACTGGACGGCGTGCAAAACAGTAGGGAACAGTAAAAAGACTTCATAAATTACTAAGACGTCAAAAGCAGGTTCTTTAAGAGACCTACTTTTCAAACGACTTTTGTTAATTACTTCGAGAAAAAGTTTCACTTACAAAGCATTGAAACGGATTATGTGACATACACGACTTAAATAGACTTCTAGAATAGGATCGGCGCACGTGGCTCGGAAGATTCTCGATCGAAAACGAGCATGCAATGGCACATGAATTAAACTGGCATTATGCCCCGTAGGAGAGTTGGCAAAGACAAGAGACTAGCATGGCCATTTCGGGCCTACATGCTGGCATCAGCGGCCCTCACAAAAGGTCACGCGAAAGATGTTCTGGACCGATAGGGGCACTGATTAGGGCACGGCTCGCGTTAACCAGGCTGAGTAGAGTCCGCGCATCCCATAAAAAGCGTCATACGTGAAGACGCAAAGCTGAACGTCTAGACGCAGGCTCACGCCACGCCAGCCACCTGTGCCCTATCTAAGCATCAGGTGTCTGGCCGGATCGGACTATTGCATGGGAAAGAAGAGGCTGAGGTCGACACTGGGGTCTGCATTCCCACAGCACTTCAGCGCAAATCCTCACTATAAACAATCCGGTGCGATTTTAAACTATCACGATGCGCTAAAAGTCGTGGCTTGGAAGGCTGCCAACTGACGGTATAATTCGATACTGTCAGAACGGAGAGTCAGGCTCAATGCTCCTCCTTAATGCGGCTTCTATAGTGCTTACATCCAGTTGGGATCTAGTCCACCCCTTGTTTCTGTGACAATCTGGTCCACGGTGTGCGGACTGGGCTTGTATGGCACGGGTAGACGGACTGTTTAACTTTGTCAGACACTGCGACCGAGACAGCACCCGTTCGTCTGGACCCTGTCTTGCCACCAAAACCAGATGCATGAAGGAGGAGAGTGCAGTAGATACCACACCTGTTGGCGATCACCATAAACTAACTCATGCGCCATTCACCGTCCTGGGCCCGCTATGCTGCAGAGCGCACGGTGGACAACATCGTTCGCAGCGATCGAACTAGCGGCAGTTGTCAACCAGTGGCAGCGTGATCGCCTGCAGAGGCTTCTAACAGAGTTTCGAGGCAAAACGAAAAGGGACTGTTCAGTCGCCCAATCAGATCAGTAGAGTCATCTGCACACAAACTCGACTGCAGCCAACGAGCTGGCGAACCCGTGCAAATAATAATAGGGCGTTCGACTTAATGCATGACGGCCATGAAGCTCGAGTTTGAAACCCAGGTTATCCAAGCCCAGGACTGGGCAAGGCCGGTTGACGGCAGTTGGTAAGCCAAACGTAGTCAGTCCAGTTGCCATAACTGTCAATCTTTCCCTCTACTTGCATTGCTTGTCACGGTGTGATCGCAAGCCAGGCCTCAGGCAAGGCCGAACGGACATGTCCTGTCATGTAATTAGGTCAATTCCATATAATGCACATTCATATTTGGCTATGGCGCAGCTCCACCTGAGACATATTTCTACTTAGAGCTCATTAAACGAGCTCAGTCAATGTTTCACGGGTTGGACGCAGATGGTGGGCACAGTCAAAAAAGACGGGAAGGGGGAAGTAAATCAGAGCTACTGAAAGGAAGCAAGTGGATGGTCATATAGAAAAAAAACAATTTAAGGGGTGAGGCAGTTAATTCCCAGCAGCAATCAACAAACAACCGTACATGCATCCTCGCACAGAGCGCTTAAAAAGAAAGAAAGTGGAACATTTATTTGCTGATAAGGGCGACCGAGAGCAGAGAGCTCAAAAATATGTACAATAACCGGTGGGTGAATGAGACCGAGGTTGAGAAACGAAGACGGTAGGAAAGGACAAAAGAATGTGTAATATCAGGACTAGTAGACAATTTTTAGGTGCAAGCACTGTTCGCGTACTACATCCGACTCATACAGGCGAATGAAATAGCCGCGGACAGAAGGTATGGAGTCACAGAAAGGAGTGGGGGACACAGAGATAAGAGGGGCGCTTAAAAAGGCAGAAAATCAACAGCAGGACCATTACAGTAGCAGGTTAGAGAACTTTCCCTGGGTCGTGTCCGTGAGAGCGTCAATTAATCATTGTTCTTGTTGCTGCCATTAGTAGCCCTCAGCCCAAGGATTTTCCTCCAGGAACTTGGATACAACCTCCTTCATCGCAAGATTGGGGATGAGTTGATCGTAGGTCAAAGGCTGGCGAGTTATCGGATCGAAATGGCCCACCTGCTGGAGGTGGGCACGGATAGAACGCCGGTCGTAGGTGATACCGCTGGGTGTGATGACGGGGTCGAGCATCAACTCAAAGCTGATTTGGCCGCATAGGTAGTCGGGAACCTCGCGTTTTTTGCGACGTTCGTCCAGCTAAAAAATATGTTGGAGAAGGCATGACTGTCTAGAAAGCTGGTAATCCAAACTGAATTGGAGTGCAGTTTGCGGTAGTGCAAACAATGGAAACCCAATGCAATAGACAGAATAGTACCTTCATTTCCCAGAGTAAATTGTAGGTGAGGTCGACGAATGACTCGCGGGCGAATAGTCAGAAAACGAACACGAAACTAATGCCCTACCGACCTTGCTCACTGCTATTTGAGGCAGCGTCGGCAAGTTGAGACACCCGATTCTTCTATTCCTATAAACAGGTGTTTTTTAGAGCGTCAGTGATTCGTTACCAATAAGCTATGATTGAACGTCCAGTCTGTCAAAGTGAACATGGCAAATTCAAGCATGCTCTACGTTGGCAAAGAACGAAAAGCACTAAATTTGCGGAGAAATCGCTGGTACTGCCGAGGGCTCAATTTTAAGGGAAACCTAAAAACCACTGGGACAGCGCCTGTTAGCAACAGCAGAGGCGGCCACCATCAGGTTGCGAAAACCAACCTTGTGAGCACAGAAGAACCACGTTCAGGTTCCGCGCCTACAGTGGTCGAAGGTCGACTAACACTACAACTCTCCCGCCCCCTTCCGCTCCTACCACGCCCGACAGTGACTACTATTACCACTCTCCCCCCCTTCCCCACACCCAGCCTGTGTTTCAAGGCGAACTTTAGTCGATTTATCTTGACGATATTTATCTTATCGATTTATCTTATCACTGACGTGATATGAATGTACTGGCCCGACGAGAATTTATCGAAAGCTACGTATGCTCGCCACCTCGTCTTCTGGTTACTGCTATGGGAATTTTCGCAACTCTCGAATCCTAAAAAGTACGCCGATCGTTAAATTGAACATTGCTAGCCTTTGCGGTACGGATAAATCGAAGATGTCGAACATTGATCGGTCGCTGGCCATAGATGATCATTTAGTCTTAGTAATACTTCACTACTGCCGGGTAGGACTGACTTATGTCAACCCTAAACATGGCACGAGAACAGGAACCGCCTGCAATACGGGTGGCTTTGAGCCAGCCTCCAGTGAAATTAGGATTAGGTTTAAGGTTAGGATTACGTTAAGGATTAGATTTGAGGCTAGATTTAAAGTTAATGGTCAGGTAAGTCAGGATCATGTTTATGTTTAAGGTAAAGGCTAGTGCTAACTGCAGATTTAAGGTTTAAGGAGGGGTGCGGGTCAAGATAGGAGCAACGGTTTAGTTTCATATTCAGGTTATTGTTGGAGTTGGGACACAGGAATATTTTGCCCTTTCTATAATAATGCACAGGTCCATCTTTATTACTTGGGCGGAGCGTTCCCATTTCCCCGTTGTGTTTAGACGTCCAAATAAGCCGGTCCCCGTGACTGTGTCGTCTGGTCATCGTCATACTACTGTTTAGGAGAGCTCCAGGCGGAAGCCCCAAGGCAAGATGGAACATCAAAATTCCACTCTACAATGAGGCTGTATCACTGAACACAACGACCAAGTAATTGTGGTCGATAGAGTTTGATAAAGTGACAGAGCGTTTGGCTTTAAATCAGCTAAACCATGGTTCCAACCCCTTACATTGCCCATTCTAAGGATCGAGTATCAAAGGACGATGACTAACAAGCAGTCTCTCTGGTCTTAGTCGGCGATATTTCCAAAATTATGACGTGGCATCGTTCGACTTCACGCATTGCCTACTTCGGATCCAAACGCTGCCTCTCAATAGAAAAGAAGCTTCTTTAAAGACAGACCCGGACCAACTCTATAAAACGCCATCGAGATTCCAACAAGGTGATGAGGGTCCTCCAATTGGCTGACACATCAAAAATCGCAACTTGGGAAGGCATGGCCTGTAGACGCCGGCCTATCATTGGATGCTGTGGAACGCAAGCAAACGAATTTAATCGGTTCAGTTGGAAAGACACACTGGGTGGGTATGTATAAATAGTAGAATAAAAAGTTCAAAGTGGGCAAATTCAGTCTGTCAAAAGTCGACTAACGTCGGTGTTTCACTGCTGAACTCCTAGTTTTTGAGCGTACGGAATACATAAACTTGTGGCTTTCAGAAAAAAACTTGTTCATAGCTGAAAAACTCACCATGGAAACATTGTGACCCTAATTATACAAGAGCTAAGGTTTTGGTTGGAAGAGAACACAAATAGGTAAATTATGATAGGCAATACCGATAGGTACTTGATTTCTGTACGTTTGGAAAGTTTCAGACAATCGGCCTTTAAAACCAACGTTGCAAGTATATTGCACAGGAGAATGTCAGGGCAAAACAGGGGACAAGCTGTATGGCGGGTAGGTAAATTTGCCTGCGGTTTTAACCTGACAGTGGAGTTTAAATTATCGGAGCTGACTATTGGATTATGTTTAGCATCGCCGAGAGGAGAGATGGATTTCGAAATGCGGGAATCATCTAGGATCTGTTGTCGGTAAGTTAGTTTGGGAGGAGAGCCACAAGGACAGCTCACTGATCCATTTGTACAATATGCTGAAGTAAAGCTGACAACGAGGGATGCGCATGAGTAAGAAAACAAACCTGGGTGAACATCTCGTCCACCTCACGTATTCGCAGCGCGGCTTCCGCGTCGATCTGAGAGCAGGCAGCTGCGACGTCTAAGTTGTCCTGATGGATAATTGAGACACTGGCGTCCACCTGTGTGTTCTGAGCCACCGATTCGCTCGCGGGAGCAGTTCGTGACACCTGCGCATCCTCGTCGGTTTTGGTGTCGCCAGGTGCCGTCACGTCATCTCCCGTCGTCTCTCCTCCCTCTGCCTCCTTCGCTTTTTTAAGAGTCTCATCGTTGCTAAACTTTCTGCCGTAACTACAACCACCACAATCAGTTGCGTTGGGTTTGTTCAGCAGTCTATTCCGTCGTTTTTCAGCATCTTCTAGTATCAATCTGGTTAGGTAAGTCTAAAAAGGAGGTAGAGAATGAATGAGTGCTCATGTCTACAGGTCAATTCAATTTGCAACTGACTGTTTCAAACACTGAAGTGACAATAAAACCCTTCTAGGGAAGGCTGTTTTCGTCTATGCAAGAAATTAAACCGGCATATCACAGAGGATGAGGCAATTGCTTAAAATCGAAAAACACTCAAGCAGACCAATGGCAAAACTGTCACGAATATAAGGTACACCGCCCACTGCTCGATTCGCCTGGTGTGCCTGAGTAGGGGGACAATGAACTGCGAGTTGTTGACCTGAATTGAGTAGATGGCCTGATTTTAGCAGGCAGAATTTCCCAGTTCGGATAACCCACTTTAAGGCGTTGAGTACGAACGTCTATAAAGCCGGTCAGCAACACTACTCGCCAAATGTGTCGTGTTTGCCTATTGACTTGGATGGATCAGTTATCTGATGCTTTTACCTGAGGCTATCCGCGTAAAGCTGACGCTGGATGGTGGTGTCGAGGTGGTCAACGGAAGAGATAAGTGGATAAGGTATTCGCTGTAAAGAAGGCAAATACAGAGAGCAATTCTGAAGGTGCTACAGATGACAGTTTGATCGTCATGACCGATGATGTCCACCGTGCGCTCTACAGCAGGGTGAGAGCAGGCAAGGTGACTTGGGTGTGATCTTTTTTGTAATGAGAGTAGACTTGCGCAACATCTACCATACTCCTCCCCCTGGGCCCGATGTCAAAAGATCAAGGGGCCCGGGGGCGGGTGAGCGCGCAGTTGGCTGGCGCGGCCGGACCCGCACTTAGGTTGTGGAGTTACATATAGGCGGTACGTATTAACTGTTCACGATTATAAATTGCTTACCTAATGAGCGGACGTAAAAGCGGGGCTTAGGTAGGCCTCTAGGCCCGTACGCCGTGCTTCATGTGCCTGGCGTCGCGTAAATCTTCCGTCAACTGATAGTAAAGGAAGGTGGTATGGGGCCAACTTCCAGTAGTCTCCAACTTAGCACCTGGCTACCCAATGGATGCACGGGTGGCGGATAGTGGAAAAGCCCTCAGCGAAAGTTACAACCGCAAATAGGTAAATGTGCCACATTGCCGCAAAGACACGGGAACCCCGGAGGTGGCATACCAACGGGCACACCGTAACAACCGCGGATAGCACTGTAACATGGTTATTATGAGTCGGTACCAAATACATACTATTTCCACCTCTATCCAGGAGGTAGGTATTGGTAAGTGAAGGCACTCGAGGAAAAACCTCGGATAAAGTGTCCGGTCAAGTGTTAGGGACCAGCTTTGGACACGCAAAGATTAGCATTCACAGTGGCAACTGAGAACAGGCTGAACGAATATCCGGCACACACGAAGTTTAATGGTAATTAAGATATCGCAGAGGAGCCAAAAACACCTTCGAAATTCAGCAAAACTCCCGCCAACAGTATCGATTTGGGTCCATATGCTGCGAAGGTGTCATCTGCCTTTTGGTCAAGATGCTGGATATCGGGGGCGGCCACAAGTGGCAAACGGTTGGACGGACCCACAGCGGCAGTGCTACCCGAGCATCAAGGGATGGGGTATACAAGATCGAGATGACCAATTACATGACGACCCATTTTTACCAAAACGATGATCTTGCAAACGCTACACCTAAAAACAAGCCATAGATGCATGGTCAAATGCACACATAACAGATGCAGACAGCGAGGAACTGCGGGCCCACCTCCACCTACAACAAACATTACCGCACCCAACATCACACAACGTAAGCACGCAATTGGCACCTCTCACGTAAGTGGGATGTGTGCTTCTCCGCTCTTTCTCTCTCTCTCTCTCTCCCTCTCTCCCTCTCTCTCTCTCCATGTGGCTACTCTGCTGCATGTTTAATCCAAGACCGGGAGCTATCACGATGCACTAAGCGCCGTGGCTTGGAGGGTTGTCAACCGACGATGGAACTCGGACCTTGCAGTCAGCCCAGTGAGCGTTTGCGAGAAGTGGCCGACTGGTGGACTGAGTCAGGCTGCAATGGCTCCTTCTTAATGTGGCATCTATGGCACTCCCATTCCGTGGGATCCGAGCCGTCCTCCCTCTCCTCTTGTTGTGTAAAACCTATGTTAGTGTACGATGTGGACCAGGGACGTTGTGGTACGCCTAGGTGCGGGTTTACGTCACGCCAGTCAATTATGTCCTTTCCAGTCTCCGGCCTTCTTGACAGCGGATCCAGGTGAGGGAGGAAGGAGTGCGGTAGGTTCAGTGTAAGTTTACTATCACTTTAAAATAATTCACGTGCCAGTCACCGTCCCTGCACCTACTCTGCTGTGGATCACTTAGTGGGCATCGTCGTGAACGACGGTCAAACTGTCATGAATTATCTGTGATGTCATCATCCACTGCAACTTTCCGGAACATTCAAAGTCTGGTAGTTAAAGTACATATGGGCATTTCAGGACGCGGAAGGATGTTATAAGGAAATGATGCTTCGTAAGTATGGCTGTCGGTCAAGATTCAAAACTCATGTCTTACAAAACTCAAAATGAAACCCAGCTCGAAAATCTGTATAACTGACGGTAACTGGCGAGCATGCAATGGTTTTCTCAGACGGGAGAATCTAGCGTACGGCACGGATGGTTGCAACAAAGAAAGCGTACAACCAGTGAAATGGGTCAAAAATAGCTACCCTACCTGAAGTTCGATTTCTTGTTGACGTCTCTTTTCATTTAGCTGCTCAAAGCGTTTCCACTTGGCGACGCGAATCACAGAGGTTATATCGTCTCCAAAGTTGCGATGACTTTCTAGAGCGAGGTTGTGCGCCGTTGTGAGTTTTGCAATTGCTTCATCGTATTTTCCCAGAGCCAGATGGCATTGACCAGCAAAGAAAAATGCCTTCAGGTTGCTCGGGTCCAGCTCCAGGGCCCGTCTGTACAGAGGACGGAAAAGAAGCAAACTGCTTGGAAGGCACAGATTCTAGTACGAAAAGGAGACAGGAGTAAAAAGGCGGGAATTTTAAAATAGTTCCGTCGATAGGATATGTTGTTTAACAGTCGAGGATTTTTTAAGGTGCCTATTTTCGAACCCCATGTCGTCTTCCTCCTAGGCAGGACCAGGCTGGGGTGAACGGGACTTGTTCTACAGGCAACCTTCGTTTTCATAATGCATTGTATCGTTGACGGGTCGTATCGAGACTTGATTGTCGAAATCCCGAGGCGAACGAGAATCGTTACAGTCCCAGCTGTAAATCACACAGACAGGCACAGCTTAACCGGTCGAGGTACAAATACAGTCGTTTTCCTGACCGATTATTCATAGATATGGGGGCAGAGTACAGTTCAGTGTGGTTACTGCCCAAGGTGCTCGCTTATGTACAACTTTCCCTATGCGTTCACTTGAAAAACCAACTCGTGTCTGCGTACTTATGATTACAAAAGTCAAACTCGCAGGTTTGGTTTGAAACCACGGCTTGATGGAAACTTTTTCAAATGCAATGCTTAGAGTTCACTTACAAAATTACAAAGCCTGCTGTACGACCAGCGGTTGCGGGATTTCCCGCCTAAAGCTGCCAGCTATCTAAGGCGTCAGGCGAGGCTAACACCAGAGAACAGAACACGAAACCTAGCGCCAGTCATAAAAATTAGAACTATATAAATAAAGCCCTCCGAAAAGGCTTGTAGGCTCGGATAAATAAACGGTGTTGGCTAGAAAATAAGGACTGCATACTGCTTATCAGGGAGATTCCAACAGAAAGGCGTCCGAGTTTTCTCAATTAAATGCTGGAACGTATAATGTCCCTTCACCGAAGTTTTCCACAAACAACAGAAAATGATGAATCTACGTTTTAAGCAATACCTGCTTGTAATTTAGTCGATATGAAGTCCAGTCCTATAGCTAAAGGTTTTAGAAAATTTATTGGCATTTTTGAACCTTGAAACGTTTCCTAGACGGATAGTAAAGGAGGATCCATCTTACATTTTAACACAACCATTCAGGGGAATCGAATTCCATGTCCACTTAGGTTTTCGGTATGAAACTATAACTCGCTGCATAAATTAATTCCTTGAAAACGCCCGAGCTTAAGGAAAAGTTACTAGCTTTACGAAAGAACCCGCGCACGAATCGGAAGAGTAATATTTTGCACGTACTTAATTTGATTAAGCGGTTATATATAAGGAATCGAGTTTTTGACCGACTTCCCATTGCGAAGAACCTGGTGGTTCGGGTCGGCGACAGAAACATCAATGTTTCACGATTGATATGTAAGTCAGAACTGTTCATACCTGCTGAAGCAGCTATTAAAAGTGGGTCTGGTAGTCATCTGGTGAATTTTACCTACTGCTTGAGAGAATCTGCATGGGCAGTTAACTCATTGGGTAGAATTCGTGGATTTTACAGTGGTTTGTGTAGACAATTCCAACTTAACAGTGAAAAGCTTAAAGCCCTGCATTGATGACTCATGCAGAAGTGTTTGGCTGCACTGAAGGATAGCCATTTATGTTAAAGATAAAAACCCCACCGAGACCACCAAGTTTTTCACGAATGGGAAAGTAACTAAGACTATTTACGTCTGACAAAAAGCACATAAATATCCTTTTACAAAAAGTAGCAAGCCGCTGTTGGATAAAGGCCTTGTGCTTTCGGAGAAATTTATATATGATCGCATAACTCTTGTTTGTCTCGATATATTTTGGAACTCCTGAATATAAATCAGTTCTGTGATAAAAATCCAATCGGATTATTGATTAGACATTGTCAGAAATAAGATGTAGAATAGCAATCAGGACGAGTGAGAATGGACTACTGCAGAAGTCTAAGTTATAAACTTTAGCCATCCTCTACACCACCCAATAATGCGTAAGCGTGATTCGCAAAAGAAGGGCAAAAAGGGTCGACGGTTACCTGCAATCGGCAAATGCCTTATCGTACTGCTTTAACTGAACATAACACAATGCACGATTAGAGTAGTACGTCGAGACTGAGCCGTTCTTCTTTATAGCATGACTGTAGCACTCGACTGCACGCCGACAGTCAGAGGCGGCAAAAAATTTGTTGCCATAATCCTTCAGTTCTGAATGCGAGAGACGTGTAAGATCCAACTAAAAATAAGCCCAATTAACTCAAAATATGTGGGTCAGATGCAGCAGAAAAAGTACAAAAATCAAGTCAACATTGTCAAGGCAATTAAGAGGTTGGTCAGAAAATAATGTCCATCATAAGCGCATTGAAAGGACTTAGTATTCTCAACTCAGTCTCAGCCTACTTTAGGACACATGTGAAGTCTCATCTAGTCAAGTAATGGTTAGGAAAGCAGCATAAACGCTTGTGTTCTTGTAGAAAAAGGGATTATTCATATTTACCCGACTGTGAAAAACTCGGAGCCCCGGTGGGATTCGAACCCAAGACAGCAAGAGGAAGGTCTTAATACAGCCAATACTCTGGCCACCTCAGCCATGAGGCCCCACCGGAAGACGTGGGCTGAATCACATTTGAGTCAATTTACCCGCCAAGTCTACCGCAACGTCTTGAATCCACCAATTCTGATACAGGAGGCTAACTGCCCAAGCAGAATTTCCGAAGTAATCAACCGAGACGCCGAGTTAGGTCAATATGAATTATTCAAAATCTGCCAAAACACCTATGATTTACTTGCGCCAGGTAGTCACCTGGTGGATTCTAAGTGGTTTGCTTAGGAAATCCTGCTTTGGCAGTCAGCTTGCTGCATCAGATTTGGTGGATTCCAGACGCTGCAGTAGGCTGGGCGAGTAACTTGACCCAAATGTGATTAAATTCCCGTCTTCCAGTGGGGCCTCGTAGCTTAGGTGGCTAGAGCGTTGGATGTACTAAAGCCTACCCCGTGCTGTCATGGGTTCGAATCCCACCGAGGCGCTAAGTTTTTCACAGTTGGGTAGATATAAATTATTCAGTCTGCCAAACATGTATGAAAAAAGGATTAATTTCTTACGAAGGCCATTAGTTCATTACGCGTAAAGGTTATGTGAGTGCATAGTAAACGCTTCTCGGTATCGCCTAAATCAGCCTGCCAAGCATCGTCCACGGTAGGTGCTTCCGAGTCCAAATGGGTTAGCGCTGGGGAGCCAAACTTAAAAAGGACTGTCAGACAGTGCAGACTATTTGAACAAGAACCGGCTACACGCTGTGATACGCTAATCGAAAACAGGCCCGATCATCAACTGCGCATGACTACAACTCCAGGAGTTCGACTAAGCCGAGCTCCTAGAGCATGCTTAGAGCGAGAAGAGTAAGGTCTACGACAGGCAAATTCTCTCGATTATAGCTCAACCCATATACTTGGTACAGCTGTCATCATGCCCGATCTAGCCGACCTCGATGATATTGTGAATTGTACCTCTCCACGCGCGACGATCTGAAGCAGCGGATCCCGACAGCTCGATTATTCCCTCCTCCAGTGACGGAAACCGAACAACGAGGGTTTAAGAACCTCTTCCATGTCCTGACGAACTTTGTTGAGCCAGATATTCAGCTGATCTTCTTTTCGAGCCTCTTGGTGGGCAGTGGCTTCGGATCGATGGCAGAATCAATGAGCGCGCCAGAATCGTCTCGGTCGACTTTTTTGGATGGTGAGCTCCGACTGTTTCGTCCGAGACGACGGCGGCACACATTACTTACACACTTATCCGTAGGCAGAGATGGTCGAACGGCGAAAAGTAGATTATTGAATGGTGCCAGGGCTACTGTACTCGCCCCATTCCCCGTCAAAAGTGCTGCCATGCAACCCATCCTCCTATTAGTCAATCCCAGTGATCATGCCCTAGGGCATGACCTGTGCATGCGATTCCTCACGGCCTGCAAGGTAGCGTGACTTGGGAACAAACCTTATGGACAACACTCAATTGAACTTGTAGTCAGCAAAATGGCTCACTGGCTGGCTGACATCTGATCTGCACTCTCAGCTTTGTTGATTTGCATTCTGACTTGAAAGAGCCACCGACTCAGTGAAACAGAATGGTTTCCTCAATGGGCGACACCTATTTGCGAAACATGCCCAAGCAAACAAGGAAGCTGAAAAGGGTCGTCAGTAGTGAATGCTCGGTAAAAGCCATAACTAAACAAACCCTACTTGGAACTTAGTATACAGTTTTCATTTTGGCCGAGATGATTACTTTGCACCATATCGACAATTGCTCGTCTATATTAACACACAAAGTAAATGTAAACGGGCTAGTGACAGAAGGGTTATCTTCTTCGTAGCAATAGATGCCTTGGCCGAAATATACAACACCCAATCCGTTTTCTATAGTACACATTTACTCGACATAGCAATACTGCATACAGTTCAGGTGGCAGTTCGACCGTCGATTTCCACGACGTCCACAGTGTGCGCCACGGCAGGGTGAGCGCAGCGACCATAGGTTGCTCGTGAATTAGTCTAGGGATAGTAGACTTACGCCGCATCTACCGCACTACCCTCTTTATCCACATAGACCCGGTGCCAGTACAAAGTCAAGAAGACCGGACGCAGGATCAGGCGAATGCCTTCTTAAGTGAAAGCACTTAAGTGAAGGTGGATGCGGCGCTGAGGAAGACAGAAAAGTCGCAAACGACAGCAGAGTGCATATAACAGGAATGAATGTCAATAAAAACAACACTGGGATAGGAGGCACTCACAACCTTATTTTTCTCCATATCGTGGCGAATCCCGCTGCAAATGTGAGACGGAGATACGTACGGGTTTTATACCCTTTTTGCCACTATCGCCAAAATTTCAGTCTAGTAAAACTAAACGAACGATTTTACAATCGACCTACCCACTTACAAATCACTCGTGACCTTTTCCAATTAAATTTAACTTGGGTCCCAATTATCACAGACTTCTTCAATATTGACAGTGAATTGCCGCGAATTTCGAGTTTTGCAGGGGAAGGTTTCGGCCTCCTTTCAGCAGAGGCGGAATTCATCAAAAGTGTTAGCGGTGAGAACGCAGTGAAGAGAAATATGAAACCCTAGAACTTTTGACATGAAAATGTCATTGGCAGATAACGACGAGGCTAACCAGGCCAAAACCATGAGGGGGAGGTGCCTCATTCACTACTCGGCAAACCTATGGGTATTATGAGACAGTTAGTGTGTCCGATTACGTCGATCGACTGAATGCCCGCAACGGCTACGGCATCAAGGGAACGGAGTGTGGGAGTGTCCAGTTGTGGGTCCAAGTGACGGTCGTGGTAGGTTGCTCGTTTTCTTGCAGATGCCGACTACGCCTAGCGTCCATTAATTGGCACCCAACTCTCACTAGTGGCTCCCCGAAGTTAGGATCTGCCTAGCGGCTACCCGCGGTAACCGCCTCGACCGGCGGACTAAACCAGGCGAGGGTACCCATGTGTGCATCTCCGCATACGGTAACTAGACTCCGATAGTCGGATGGATCGCCGCCTCGTATCTTCGAAATGTGACTTAATCAGCAAGGCCGCCGTAGACCATAAGATAATTGAAACTGTGGCAGCTCGCGTCTCTTTGCTCCGCCTTTGTCGCATTACCTTCCTGTCCGCCTCACACTCCGCGTCGTTACGCTGCTGGGGCGCACGAGGCTTGTCACTAGTCTCTGGAGTGCTCGAGGCCAATCAACGCTGTTTCCCCTCTGATTGACTGGCGAACGCTGAGACAACGAGAGGCATGCACACGCTGGGTCTGAGTACCTCGAAGACGGACACAGACAACCCAACTTGCTTGGTAGCGCGCTCGCGTCGATTGCCTACAGAGTCTTTGTTTACTCACTTCCACAGCACTAAAGGTTGTACAACTCAATCTGTCTTGTCTGGGATCTGATTAGGGAACCTCAGTCTTGTCGACAATATCAATTTTCGACGAGCCCCTGGTAAGCGAACGTCGCTCTGCCGTCTTTTCTCTGTTTGTCCTTGCTTGCCTTCTGTTTATCTTTTTGTGTTCGTCCTTGTTGTAAGCTAAATTTTCATCCGTCGAATTTCCTTTATTTTCCTTTGCTTCTGCTGGTTCTTGCTTGCCTGCCCTTCGTCTGCTTGGTTGTGTCTTTGTTTGTGTTTGCCCTCACTGTAAGTTTGATGTCGTTCTGTTGAATTTGTCTGCTCACGTTTGTATTTCGGCAACCAGTTCTCTTAGAGAGGGACAGGAAAGCTCCGCAAGGATCTCCTGATGAGCCGCCGCCAGGCTAAACGGGGAGGCAATTTCGCCACCCTCTACAGAATATACACTCTACCCCTAATAACTTGCCCTGACGCTGAAAGCTACGAATTCAACGAGGACCTGCACGCCCTTCTGGCGTCTGTGCCGAAGGCGGACAAGTTGACTGTCCTTGACAACCTCAACGCTCGCGTCGGCGCAAACCATACTGCCTGGAGAGGAGTGCTGGGTTTCCATGGTCTTCACGGCTCCAATGACAAAGGCTTACTCCTCCTGCAAACCTGCACCCAACACCGCCCCCATTCTAACCAACATCTACCTCCGTCTCTCAATTCGAGATAAGGCCACATGGATACACCCTCAGTCGCGACACTGACACCTGTGCGACTATGTTCTCGTCCGGAGGCGAGACCCGCGGGGCGTGCTGGTGACAAAGGCGACTGCGGTTGCTGACGGGCGGGCCCACTATCGCATGGTCATCTCGAAGGTGCAGATTCGTCTACAGCCTCTCATGGGACTTCAAAGTAAACGACAGCCATGTATGCTGCGTATTGTTTTGCTGTTTTTGCCTGCTTACGATCCCCATCGCATCAATGAACTAGCTCAACGGCCAGTCAACATTCCAGTCGCTTTTACCGCAGCTGACAAAAACGCCTCCGTGGAGAACCGATGGTGTCAACTGCGGGTCGCAGTCCAGTCGACAGCCCTGACAGTCCCCGGTCGCGCACGCCGCTAACACCAGGACTGGTTCGAAGAAAACGATGTCGGCATCAGAAACTTACTTAGTGACCAGAACGGAATGCACATATCCTATGTCAACCGCCTACATCCGGACCGTATGTTCCGTGGGCGGCCAGTCACTTGACGACGTAGACCACCTCCCTCAGAAACAGTCTTTTCCCTGAACTGTTTGTCTTAATTTCCAGTTCCATCCTAAATAAGATGTCTTTGCATCAGATTCTGGTGCTCATCCAACGCCAAGATATTCTCTTAGTTATTGAGACATTGGCATTAGCTTCCGTAGCCGATTGCGAACTCTCTCTTCGAGGCAATACTTACATTCGAAATGATCGTCAAGACAGCCGTGGTCAGGGCAGCTGCATATACGTTAAGCAAACACTTAAGTTTTTGTCGCTGGACCTCCCGCACATTTCCGCGGTAGATGGCAACTGTTGACCTCAATTTGCTCTAAAAATCAGCTCTCTTTACTCGTTGGCTGTGTCTATCACCCTCCTAACGCCAATGAGAATTTCGATCGTTTACTCTCACAGGCATTTCATGCTGCGGCTGACTTAAGCTTTAAGTATCAATTGGTTGCGAATGACTTTGATCTTCCCGAAGTCCGTTGATCTCCGCCTTCCTGCCCCAGAATTTTCGAAGAATATTTTGAGGCTGTTGATGTTGGCGTATGGAGACAGTTTGTCGAGGTTCCCACCCGAGGATCAAGCACTCTTGACATAATTTCCTACAGAGGTTTCGTGCCTTTGCCAGCGGCATCCATAGGCACACCCGGGGGCTCAGACCATGACATGGTTGTTTCAATGTTAGAACTCGAGGCTGACAAAAAAGGTCCCCAAAGTATAGCTTCTCCTTCGATTTCCGACCGAATTTGTAACTCACGTTAAGTCCTACGATTGGACTGATTTCCTCCTTAGCTGAATGTAAATGTTTGCACTGCAAAACTGTACGAAATTTTGGATCCGCTTATTTCTCGTTTTGCCCCCCGTAAGAAAATTATTAATGTTGGGGATGAGGTTTTCCTACCCTTACCCTTTCGTCCCAGATTGCGCAGACTTTATCGGCGATTCCATCTTCAAAACGACGTTTCTGTCCTGCCCTTGATTTGTGATATTTTTCAGCGGGCTAAGAGATTGTCTGAAGAAAAACAGCTATCCGAACAGGTCCAGTTTACCGAAAACCATTCGTTAAATGTCTCGAAACTTTTCTCTAGAAAAATACGAACTCACCGAAAGACGCAGCATCCCATCCTCCAAGACACTCTCGGAAATCCCATAGTTGATGCCCAGTTAACCGTGGATAGCTTCAATGATTTCCTGTTCATAACGTTTCTTGAAGACTCGACCACTCCGCTTCGGACCATCCAGGCAATGACTGGGGCAGTTCTAGAAACTATAATTTTCACTCTGTTGGATGTGACTGTTATGATTCGGCGTTTTCGTAAATTTTATAGTCCAGGTCCTGATGGTGTCCCAGTAAGCATTTTAAAAGCCGACGCAAATACGATTTTCCCATCCCTCCTATGCAAGATATTTAATTTCGCTCTTGAAAGTGAAACTTATCCTACCTTGTGGAAGGAATCACACATTTTGCCCATTCCTAAGCACGGCAAATCTACGTCATGTGATGACTTTAGGCCAATAAACACCCTCCCCGCATTTTCGAAGATCTTAGAGACATTGATCAAAGATAAGATGATGTGTCACTTAACAGAGAATAACATACTGAGTGTTGCTCAGCATGGATTTCTCAAAGCCTGATCTTGGGACACCTGTCAACTCTCTTCCTTTGACTATCTTCTCCAATCTAGGGACAATGGTTTTGCACTTTACACAGTATATTTCGATTTCACTAAGGTTTCTGATCGTGTTGACCATGCTCTTCTTCTCTTGAAACCGTCTTCTTTCGGAATAGGTGGCAAACTTTTAAATTTTTTGTCGTCTTACCTGGGCACTCGTACTCAACAGGTTAAGAGTTCCAATGCTATCTCCATCCCCACATGTTTGAGGAGTGAGTCATTCAGGGTAGTGTACTCGGTCCGCTTTTATTTTGCCTTTTTGTTAACGATGTGCCAGAATTATTTCAGAATGGTAAGCCCTTCATGTATGCGGATGATCTGAAAGTTGCATACAGGTATAAGCCGGCAGATCGTGGCATCGTGCTTGAGCTCATAAAGAGCAACCTACAGGCTTTCACCCAGTGGTGCCGCACATAGCGCCTTTCTCTTTCTTAGCATAACTGCTCAGTCATGGTAATTGGCGACGACCTCCATCCTCACTAAGCATTGAAGGTCACGCCATAAATGTGCCTGGGGTTATTAAGGATCCGGGTGTATCATACTCCAGGAGGCTTAATCTTTCGGAGCACTGTGCCTTGATAGTCTCCAGAGCACGCAGAACGACCGGGTTATCCTCCAAAACTTTAAAACCAGCGAAATTAGAATGCGCATTTTTAACATACACTTTCGACCTGGCCTGGAATACCGTGGTTTTTATTTAGCCTTATGCGTGCTGCCGAGCGGAAGTAAGAAGGATCCGCCCAATATTTTTCACTAAGAGGATTTTAACCCCCCGAAAACCGGAAATGTTCATACCAAGAAAGTTGCCGGCTAACAGACTTTGATCCCTTGTGGTTTCGTAGATTACAAAAAGGACTATTTTAAGACATCTTGTCCACCCCGGACGTAACAGTCACTGTGAGGCCTTTTTATTTCTTCCGCTGGCACGTACCGTTAAATATCGTCAGTTCTTCTCTGTAAATGAAATTGCTATTCGGAATAAACTACCCAGGAGTGTGACAACTCTGCAAAATTATCCTTCATTTAAGAGAACTATTACTCGATTTTTGCATTCAGAAAAGCTTTCACAAATTTTGGGTGCTGAATCCACCAATCGAATGTACCGTAACGACGGCGTGTGTGGCCTCTGATCCCTATGGCTGGTCTCACCAAGGACAATTTCCTTAGCCAACAGCGAAAGCTGTTCTTCAGTGCTTCCGCATGGTCCAGTCCAACTTCATAAAAAGCATTGGCGATTGATAACATCCGATGTAGTACTACGCCTCTATTTATTGACTGTCGTCAATTCAGGGGCTGCAGTTTTTCTTCTCCTGAACACTGTAAACTATAAAAAACCAGTATCATCTTTACTATTTTGTCAGGAGTTTTTTCACTGCTGGCCGGATTTTTGCTTAATCTTTCCCTGATAATGCCTGTAAACTGACATTAAGTGCCACTATTATTATTATTATTAACCACCCCGAGACGAAAAGAAAGTAGCCTTCTACTGCAGTCACTCCTTGTGCAACAGCGGCTGCGGGAGATGCATGACACTTGGACGGCCTTCAAGGCCGAGAAGATCCAAGGGTACGCGGACCACAAGGAATGGAAGAATAACTTCTCCGCAATCATGACTGTCTACGGTCCGCCAACCAAAGCAACTGATCTTCTTCTCAGCGCCGACGAAGTACTGTACTAAATGAGAAGAAGAAAACTCGCGGCGATGGGCCGAGCACTAAAGAGGCGTCATAAACCGCGCCTCCATCATCTCGGACGCCGCCATCCGCCGTCTGCCTCACGTGCTGACGAACGTCGATCTCGACCTCCCGTCCTCTCTACGTGAAACAATCAAGGTCGTGCAGCAGCTCTCTAACGGGAAAGCGACCGGAGCGGACGCGATCCCTGCTGAGGTCTACAAGTACGATTATCCCCAATTCGTGGATCATTTGACTGCGCTATTCCGGGAGTAGTGGCATCAAGGAGAAATCCCGCATGATTTCAAGGACGCCACAATCGTCAATCTCTAAAAGCGGAAGGGGAACTGCCAAATCTGCGACAACAATTGAGGCATTTCCCTGCTGAACATTACCGGGAATATCTTCTCTCGCATTCTTCTAAACCATCTGAATTATCATCCGGATTATGGTCTACTGCCGGAAAGCCAGTGTGGCTTCGGCCGTCATCGTGAGACCACGGGCATGACCTTCGCCGCTCGCCAACTTCAGGAAAAGTACCGGGAGATGCTGACGCACCTCTGCTCCAATTTTTTAGATCTGACGCAAGCCTTTTACAAGGTGAATCGTGACGGACTGAGGGAAATCTTGCAGAAACTCGGCTGTCTCGAACGATTCACCCAGACGGTGCGTCAGCTCCACGATTGCATGATGGCGCGCGTCACGGACAATGTGGCTGTCTCAGAGGCATTGGCAGTGACACACGGAGATAAGGAGGGTTGCGCCCTCAAGTCTACTCTTTTCAGTCTCATGCTCTCTGCCGTGATGATGAACGCCTATCTGCGACAACTTCGGCCTGGGTATCAATAGGAAAAAGAAAATACTTATGCATCAGCCGCCCCCTGACGCTGCCTACGTCGCACATTTAATCAACGTGAGCGGCGTCCAACTAAAAGCAGTAGGCACTTTCATCTACCTGGGCAGCACCCTCTCCCACATGACCAAAATCGACGATGAAGTGACCCGCCGAATTCCCAAAACCAGTCAAACTTTCGGCCGTCTGCAAAGCAAGTCTGGAAGCTCCACGGTTCCTCCTCAATACCGAACTAAAAATGAACACGGCTATGATTCTGCCGACGTTACTGTACATAAGGAGACTTAGACGATGTACAAGAAGGAAACGCGGAGTGTTAATCATTTCCACCTCAGCTGTCTTCGACGGATACTGGATTTGAGGTGGCAGGACCAGACCCCGGACACGGACGCACTGGGGCAGATGGGAATTTTCAGCACATACGCCATGCTGAGACAGCTGCAAGTATGTCGGAGCGGCCACCTCGTGCGGACGAACGAAAAGCAGCTACCCAAAAGACTCTTCTACGAAGATGACTCCGCGGGTTTCCGCCGACAAGGCGGCCAAGCCCCTCGTTACAAAGACACTCTGATGGCAGGCGCAGCGATCTACGAAATCAACTGCATCACCGCAACCAAAGCCTAACGTAAGGTTCGCAAATCCAGACTGTGATCACCTCACAACGTCAACTCGTATTCAGCCCCGCCCTGCCCATGCTGCCAACGAACGTTCCGAGCACCCATCGCCTTGTAGGGCATCTCCATACCGACTGCAGCATCCGTACTACACCAACTGCTGTCTCCTCGTTCAACCCTGCCTCACCCTCCACGCCGACTACTAGCATTGACCGAACCGCCCAACCCTGAATTTAATATCCAGACGACAGCTTTAGCAACAAGAAGATGCAATCACTGAGATAAGAATTTATGCGTCAGGCTTGTTTATTCCCTCTCAAATGGACTTCCGGAGACCACCAATGTGATGGACGCGCAGGGGATGGAGTATTTACAGAACGAAGTTGCCATACAGCAACATATGTATCTTTACTAGAAGCTCCCACATTCCTCGCTGACGGTCCTACTTTGTGCGATGCTTGCCTGCTTGCCCGCATCCGAGGCGTTAGTGACCAGAATTTCGTCGTCGGTGTTTATTTGTGGCATGATAAATACCAAAACAGAGACAGCTATAAGAGAGTAAGCAATGAGACTGAAAGACCTATTGCCACGACAGGAAATTCCTGGAGGTGTTTACCGTTTCAAGTGCCGTTGTGAGCAAAGCATTTGCATTGGAGAAACTGGGAGGCTGCATCGACAGCGGATGGCCGAACACGCAGCAGCAGTGAGGGACGACGTTAGCAGTCAGGTCGCGGCTCACTTGATGAAGTGCGACCATGTCTCCAAGTTTGGCTGAGTCGAAGTTCTCGCAAGGGATGATAATCGTGTAAACAACAAGCTGATCGATTCCTGGTTCATCGGCCCGTAGTCAATTAAGAAGCGATGTGACCTCCCGTCTTCATATTCATCCCTCTGATTTTTCCGGACGGAGTAATCTACCAGGAGGGATACGAGCGGACGGGCATCGCTTCCGGTGAGGTCATTGTCAAGTAATTGTTACGCCAACAATCGACACTGGTCATAAAATCACGGTAGCTAATGGCTCCGATACTGGCGCGCAGCCAATCACCGCACCATCGCTTTGTTTCTCTGAATGCCTTTGATGGTGAGTTCGAATGAGAATAAGAAGCGTCAGGAGAAGAAAGTCTGTTTCCATGATCGCTTCTTGTCCTTCCCCTCTCTTAATACTTTCTGGGACTCGTCTGTCTGGTTACATTTGCTGTTTAGATTTGAATATTCCGTTTCAGATGCATGATCCTTGAAAATTCTGAAACCGAATGCAAAATCACGTGGAGGATCTTTTGACTCACTTACTCGAGTTAGGAAATGACGTATCCACGGGAGGTCTAGCTTAGGTGAGATAATTATGAATTATGAATTTGGTGGTTGATTCAGGTCAGAAGTTACTTCCTGTGTGAGCTTTGTCTATTACCAATTGCTTGGACTGTTTCAGACATCTACAAATATTGCTTGCACTGGTGGGCTGAAATGCATATCAGCGCCTCACTTTTACAAACGTTCCAGGTTCTATGCAGAAGCAAGATGGACTTGAACCATAGCTATTCGGCGAGCATGCGGCTGCTGTTTCCACTTTGGAAATTTGTTTAGAGGCTGCAACAGTAAACAGCAAAATTGCTCTCGGCGGACACCAAAGTATTTTCAGAACCAAATACAAAAATGTGGGCCAAGTGACAATCGACATGAAGGAAAGCCTTGTTGTATCAGTGGGCAGAATTGCTTGTTCTAGTATTCATGAAACAATATGTTCAAAACCGAGGATGCTTTGAGCGCATAGACTGGAGTTTTCATCACCCAGTCAAATTACTGATGAAAATTAGACGCTGTGAAAATTACTGGAAGGTGGCCCAACAACCAGAGGCATTAACTGTTAGAGGTTTCAACCCGCTGGTAATCGAGTGAAACAATTTTCCTGACAGAACTTCATTTTGGTCGTTCGAATTCCTACCCATCAGACTGGTAGGTGGGCTTTTGCCTGTGCGGAATACCACCTTTTCAGCAAGAATCACAAAGACGCAAAGGGCGATTGCCGAGATCTCGTCGTTACGAACACCTTACTGAGGTTGACAAAATATGCTCCATGGCATCACTCGGGAACTCTGGCTATGTCATTCTCTCGGGCATTTACTTGTTTTACGCCAAAAAATGAAGAGGGTTGCGATTCGTCTGAATGTCTGACGATAGCACTTTGTCCCTGTTAGGAATGAACTATCGGTGATTAAAGGTGAAACGCTATTACTGGAAATCTTGATATCGCTGAAAGACGATCAAAGAAGTTATATGTGATCTTATCCAACAGCGCTGTTCAACAAAAGGAATTCGACGAACAAGTGGTCTGGTTTGATATCCCGAAAGGAAAAATTAGCAAAATTTAAAATTTTGACTAAGGGATGCAGCGACAAAATGAGCTTTAAACTGCAAAATATTTCCTCGAAAATGGAAAAGAGACGAGTTTAAAAGCTCACAGAGTGAGAAATGAGCACGAAATGAACCGCAGGATAGCCAATATTATGTACTATTTATTTACGTGAATAACAGAATTGACTCTCAGGACCAGTTTTTGCGGTTCATCACCCGGAGTTATATTCAGCAGTGAAGGAGGCTCCATCCAATCCAATCGGGCAAACCCTAAACCGCACAAAATGGGACCTTGTCTGAGTGTTTGGAAAGGGGAAATTCAAGCAGTCCCAGTGTGACTTGGTGATCCACCAGTAACATTGTTGCCGCGTGAAAATCCTGCTTACAACCAGGTCAGGTTGGTAAACCTACACCCACGTGATTTCTATCGTCGCCGATCACAGAAAACAAAGTGTTAACTTTTAGCTCGAGTTGACGTATGTCACCATGGATGATCAACTGGACCCCAGTTCAAATTCAGAGTATTTCTTGCCTAAGGCTGACGTGGAGCAGAAAATAAGTCATACGTGATTATTTTATCCCCCTTATCTCTGTCAGCAATATTTCATGGTTACTGAGTACTCGTTGATGTTTGGACACCTTTGAGAACTGAAGACCGTATTTCAGAAGCAAAACCGAATGCCCATGTTGCATCATGCAATCAGACCAGATGAACGACTGCCACTCACACCGGAGCAATTTCTGCCTCTGTGCATGACTGCCGTCGAAAAATGCGTTAGTGGTCTCCAACTCGGTTATAGGGGTTACAACGAAGTCAACGAGTCCTGCACCTATCGTGTCAAATTTAGCATCCTCCTGAAGTAACTGATTTCGTAATGTGCACCTACAAAGCGTAGGATTTGTTAACCCGTCTAATTGGATTTTCGGGACTGCTTGGGATCCTGTAAATTATAATCTCCTCTTCCAATCATACCACTTGCTGCCTGCCAGTACAGGATGGAAAATTTCTTCTGAAAACCATACTTTTATAAAAAATCCCCAATTTCTAGTTATTTTCCACATTTCACTGAATAACCGTGATATGTGTGTCTCAGAGTTCCCTGGTACATCGAATTTCTGAGATCATATATGACCATCGAGTGCTGCTGGTTATACGCACTGAGTTGACAATTCACTATAAGCATAAGACAGACTAATGCGTGATCATACACTTTAGGTTGTCTCTTTTGTTACTTTTAGTAAAAGACTTGAAAACCAAAAATTCCTAATTTTACTTCACCATCTGATTGTATCTGCTTCCTTCTTATCGATTAACTGCTGATATGTTTTACTTGTCTTTTAATGAACCGGCTCTTCAGTCCTTCGGAAAAAAAGAGTGAAATGAATGTGCACACCGGATGTTCAGAAGCTATAAAGTTGTCGCATACCAGTAGGTTGACAGTAGGAAGCCGCGACGCAAAATATATCTTCTGTTTGGATGACTTCTTCATGGTCCATCGGAAGGAGGCATGACGTAAACGGTAGTGTTCTCACGAACTAACGAGTTATATCTCACGAGCCCTTAGCCTTAAAGGCGGCAAGTAAAACCGGCCAGTGAATAATATATAAAATCGAGACGTTAAGTAACCTGACAACAGAGCGCGACAGCTAAGCAGGCCAGCGAAGCGGGTTATATGGGGTGTGTTGATTTTCGTCACATTCAAACAGGCAATCGGAGCAAAGAAAACGGGCCTGATTTGTCAAAGGTAAACTAGTCCGGTACCTCACCACAGGCACTTATTGCAATATATAAACTCTATGAAATTTTGTCTTTTGTTTCCGCAGCTCTGGTTATAAAGTAGTGACGAAAGAGACTGACGCACTAAGAATATCTAATAGGAATTTTGAGAATTGTTCGGCCTAGAAGGTAACCTCGTCATAACTTCATTTTGTTGCTATGGGATGCTATGATTCCCTTTATTTTGTTCCCAATAGATACTAAAGTTTCTGACAGAATTTTGCAAACAGAAGAAGAACAACGTCCTCTT